TGTTAGTGAGCACGTGTTAGTGCGCACGTGTTAGTGCGCACGTCTTAGTGAGCGCGTGTTAGTGAGCACGTGTTAGTGCGCACGTGTTAGTGCGCACGTCTTAGTGAGCGCGTGTTAATGAGCACGTGTTAGTGCGCACGTCTTAGTGAGCACGTGTTAGTGAGCACGTGTTAGTGCGCACGTGTTAGTGCGCACGTCTTAGTGAGCGCGTGTTAGTGAGCACGTGTTAGTGAGCACGTGTTAGTGAGCACGTGTTAGTGAGCACGTGTTAGTGCGCACGTGTTAGTGCGCACGTGTTAGTGAGCAGGCACGCACGGCGAATTTACCCTCAACAACAACCGCCATTCGCCAATAAGTGGCGGTGACGTCACCACGACGCTTGTGCCAGGCTATGTGCACCTCGAGGCCACGTGCAGAGTCGAACGCCCGCTGGCAGGAGGTCATGGGGCAGACCCAAGTGCCACGAGTCGACTGACTGAGATGACTGGCTGATGCACCACCTGTGCCCCCTACTGTGCCAACTTGCTGTGCTTTAGCCACCCGGCGCTCCGCTCGTTGTTGTGAGCGTGGCTCCTCGGCCCTCCGTTGTTGGAGGGCGACAGCCTCCAATTGCCCAGTAGCGTTCTTAACGAGCCTCCTCCACAGAGGCCGATCTTGACACCGCTGGTACCAGTCATCAGCAAGTCCACTCAGCTCCACATCCTCCTGTACCACATCACTCCATCTCTTCTCTAGCCCGTGTCACGCCTGTTTAGCCCCTCTCGATCCGGCCGAACAAAAGATGTTTAGGCATGTGGTGGCTGGGCATGCGGGCTACATGACCCAGCCAACGCAGCCTTGCCTGCTGGAGGAGCTCACCGATGGAACTTTGTCCACATCTTTCAAGGATGTGTGAGCTCCTCACACAATCCAGCCTGGTTAAACCTAGGATGGATCGTAGGCAGGCCAGCCTAAATGTTTCTAACCGGCAAAGATGTTACGTCAGGCGTGTCTGCGTTTCGCAAGAGTAGGAAAGGGATGGAATGACCGTGGCCGAGAAGACTTGAAGCTTCGTGTGATAGACCAGTTAGCTTCCCCACAGCGTTACGCAACCGAAGAAAAGATAATGCCGCTCGACTGATTTGGAGTGAGACCTCTGCTGTCAAACCGGAGCCAACCATGAGCACACAGCCCAGGTATGGGAAACTCTCCACTCTCTCCACAACTGCCCCATCACCGATTGGGAGTTGTGGGGGTGGAGTGCCTGATGCTACAAAATACCCAAGCAGGTGCTTCGTTTTGGTGGGGTTGATGGTAAGGCCCCACCTCTTAGTGGCTAAGTTTCAGCAGCAGCGCCTCCAACTCCTCCTCTGAGTGAGCCACAATTACCAGGTCATCGGCATACATAACATGGTTCACCAATAGGCAGCCATCCCTTGACCGCACCCGGGCATCGATCAGACTGTTGTAATGATGTCATGTAGGGCAGTCTGTGCACAAACGCCACCCTCCCTCAGTGTTTCGCTTGGGAGATCATCTCTGCCCGGTGCCTTTCCTGGTCTCAGACTCTGGATCGCCTTCAGTGCTTCCTCAACAGATGGCACCTCAGACAGCCACTCACAGGGGGTGAATTCCTCTTCCAATATTTGTGGCACCGCAGCCTCAGCAGGATCATCCCCACTTTGTCCCGCGATGTTTTCCATGTGGAGGGATTTCCCCTCCCCCAGGACTTCACAGAAATGCTCAACAAATCTGCAAACCTGTTCCTGGGGATCAGATATTGGATCACCGTTTTTTCCCTAATGATGGTAATAAGTGTGGCGCTGCAGGTAACGTTTTTGATGTAATTAAATAGGAATTTGTGATCGCGGGCAATTGAGGCAGACTCCATATCCTCAGCAACCCGCGACCACCACCCATCCTTGCAGCGCCTCATGGCTCTCTGAACCTTCGAGTGAAGGCTGCGGTAAACCTCCTCATTCTCCAACGTGGGATGCTGTAGCCGATGAGAGTGGGCTTGTCGCTTTTTCTCAGCCAGCTTGAACACCTCCTCTGTCAGCCAGGGTCTCTGGGGAGGTCTGGACCGCGTACCCAAAGCAGCCATTGCAGTTGCCTGAGTCACAGTCCTAAACCTCACCCATTTACCCATGACATCTGGAGGAGTGAAGGACGATGCCAACCCAGCCGCAAGCGATGATTAAATTTTCGCTTGCAACTTTCATCAGCTCGCTGAGACCAGGCCACCTTAGGTTTGAATGGGAGTGGAAGAATGATAGGCGCATCTTACAGATGACTAGTCGATGGTCAGAGGGTATATCAGCTCCACGGTAGGTTCTGGTGTCAAGGACATGGGCTCGCATCCGCTGGTCTGTCACTAAGTAGTCCAGCAGATGTTCTTGCTTGGACTCGGCATGCATCCATGATGTTGTGTGGATGAGCTGATGTTGGACCAGCGTGTTGGTAATTACAAGCCTATGGGCTGATCAAAAATCTAGCAGCCTCCTACCGTTGTTATTGAGCTGATCTGGCCCATGCCTTCCAATTACTCCAGACCAGGTGCCAGCATCATGACCAACTCGGGCATTGAAGTCACCCAACAAGATGACTCTATCCCAAGTGGCCACTTTAGCCAGCACCTGTAACAGGAGGTCATAGAAGGCATCTGACTCATCGTCATTGCCTGCATCCCTCCACGGATGTTCGTCTTTGGTGGGAGCATAAGTAACCACGACCACCACTTCTCGCCTCTGGTTGATGGGAAGGCGAGCCCAAAGTAGCCTGGGGCTTACAGCTTCCCACACCTCACCACCACGCTCCCACGACCCCTTAATTCTTTTGTTCAGAAGAAGAGCCACACCTTGTTGTTTGGCAGTCTCCTGCCCCGAGTAGAGGACTGTCCACCCCTCATGGTGGCAGGAGCCAGAGCCGGTCCACTGGACCTCCTGAATGCCACAGAGATCCAGGCGGCACCGGTCCAGCTCCCGACAGAGGAGTGGGAGCCTCTCCTCCGCAGTGAGCGTTCGAACATTCCACGTGGCCATCCGTAGTGGCTTTTTGTTGTTTCTGGAGGAGCCCCGAGGGTAAAGATTTAGTCTCCTGGCTCCGCCAATTAGGGTTTGGCCAGGAGACGTCATAGACACCTGTCCCCCCGGGGCCTCCGGTACAAGCTTGTTAATTAAAATTTTCGGTCTTAGTTTAATGGTAGTTAATTGAAGGTGGAGGGGTTACCTGCCCATTGCACCCATCCAAAGCCCCCATTTATCCGCTGTGGTGGTCACAGACGCCATGAGGGGAAAGGCCAATTGGAATTGGCCCTCCCCCCCACAGCACTGTCCACGACAGCATTGCCCGTCTGGCACCACGAGGAGATAGGGGGTTGTTTTACCGGACTATAACCGAATTTTCTCTCGTACACTTGCACACCAACAAAGACAAAGCTCCCCGGTATAGCCTTTGAACATAATGTTGGGGCAAGTGCTGTTAGCAAGCACCTATGAAGACCGTCGTGACACACATGCTTGTAGTGTGGCCTGCACCATGCCCGGCCATATTTGTCTCCCCAGTGCTCCTCTGTATACATTGCAGGAGGTACTCATTTAAGGCTGAATCAGTCTACGGGAGGCCAAAAACCGGTTCTCGTGCCCATCGCTGATTTCAAATCCAACTCGGGTTCTCAGAATCGTAGCACAGTGCGGTGCGATAACTACAACAAAGTTAATTTACAAAAACTAAATCTATTGACAAGATTTGGGAACCAGTTTTGCGTCCATTCTTCGGCACAGTGTGGTGCGCTGCTTTCTGCACAGTTACAAAAAGAAATGTGTGCGTCTTTTGACGTCACAACAATTGTAATTGGAAGATTATTTTAAAAAAATTATTTAAGAAACGTGGTTATTTTTTTGTAAAGTCATTGGTGACCGGGCAGCAACAAGCAACTGCCTTCACTGTAGAAACACGGCTGAACGAAGAGAAATGGAAACTTGGATTCGAATCCAGGGGTTCCAAGCATGCCGGCTCAGTGCTCTGAGCACCGAGCTACCTGGTCACCTCGAATTTAATGTTTTCTTTTTTACAAATTAAGGCAACATCCACGTTCACTGCGATGGGGTACGTGGGGACTCAGGGCACGAGCACAGTCGGCTCACTTCCCTTAACGAACTGAGGGCGAAACCACGGGCGGCTGAAACCCCGAATTCGAATCCGGCTTTTCAAAAGCGCAGCAGGAGCTCTGTGCTCTCGGCCCTCCGCCACCACCCAGCCACCTTCCAAAGCCGCCTCCGTTTTGAGCGTCGGTCGGTCGGCGGGACGTGCAAGAGCAGGAACGAGAGGAAGGCTTCGAACCGCCACCGTCCGTGTGCCCGTAAAACCGGACCTGGCACCGACACCGAAGAATTTACAATTGCGCGCGGCCCGTACGTCTCGTAAACTGCCTCTTCATCCGCAGGATATCAATCCCCGAGCCCCCCCCAGCCCCCGCCCACCGCACCTCGGGGCTCTGTGCGAGCGAGCGCCGCGCGCGTCGGTGTCACCGCCATCCGTCGTGCCGCATTTTTACGTGCGTCGTTTGTGTCTCGTGCGCTTGCCTGGTCCGCGAGTGATTTACACGCGCGGCCGCTTCCAGGTGATGCCCGCGCGCCGCGCTCACCGGTGGCTGCTGCCGATTGCACATTTGCTCAGTGGAGCCGTGCGTGTGTGTGTCTGTGTGTGTGTGAGGTGGGGAGCGGTAGGGTAGCCGTTAGCACGCTGCGCTATGATCCTGGCGGGTTCGATTCCCGCTCACGGCCAACACCCGGTAACGATTATCTTAACCGGTCCTGGGCCTCCTCTAGGTCGACTCGGCCTCAAATGAGTACTTGGAGCGGTGTGTAAATATCAGCACTGGGGAGACAAAGGCGGCCGGGCGTGGTGTTGGCCACCCACCCCCTCGTGTGCCGTGCCGGCCTTCATAGGTGCTCGCTAACAGCACTTGCCCCAGCAGTCTGTTGAGATTATACGGGAGAATCTTCGCCTTTGTTGTGCAGGTGAGCAGCCTGTACATCTATGACAGCGTGGTGCTGCTGACCACCGCCTTCCACCATAAGCTGGAGGACCGCAAGTGGCACAGCATGGCCAGCCTGAGCTGCCTCAAGCGCTGGACCAAACCCTGGAACGGCGGACACTCCATGCTGGACGTCATCCGCAAGGTAGGGCCCTCGCGGTGGCGCGCTGACTTCAGTGGCGCTGCCGATGCGTGCAAGGTGATGGCAAGACAATGACAAAGATCCCCCAGGTAGCACCCACGAAGGCTGGCACGGCATACGAGGGGATGGGTGACCAGCACCACGCCTAGCCACGTTCGTATTGACACACACACACACACACGTTAATACAGGTATCAGTAAACAAGGTGATGACACACATATAATCCCCCCACCTCTGTCCACGCAGCTCTATAAGAGGGTTCACCACGGTTAGTCGATCGGCACCGTCGCATGAGGCGGGGTGAAGTGTGGCTACTCCCACCTCTTCCAAGACATTTGGCCAGCGTGGAAGAGTAGGCCAAAATGTCCCATTGAGGAGGCTCTCTCGAGGTCTGTCTATGTGAACGAGAGGCACCTTCTACCAGCAGTGCCGTGATCAAGCAATTGCAGGGCTACCCCTTTTTTTCTCCAAAGGACATCGTGCATCTGGGAAATGGCCCTTTGTTCGTCGCTGGAGGCTGCTTGTGGCTTCTGCTGCTGCTGCTGTTGTTTGTGTGTGTGTACGTAGGTCCTGTGCCTGTGTCTACATCAGGGTGCATCTTCGTGCGTCTGCACGTGTCTTCATTAACCTGCATGTGTATTTGCCGCACGTGCATCTACCAGTGTCTGCGTGTGTGTGTGTGTAGCGGTTAGCGCGCTGCGTTATGAACCTGGCGGCCCGGGTTCGATTCCCGCTCACGGCCAACACCAGTGACGATTATCTGAACCGGTCCCTGGCCTCCCCTAGGTCGACTCAGCCTCAAATGAGTACCTGGTGCGATGTGTAAACATCATCACTAGGGAGACAAAGGCGGCCGGGCGTGGTGTTGGCCACCAACACCCTCGTGTGCCGTGCCGGCCTTCATAGGTGCTCGCTAACAGCACTTGCCCCTACACTCTGTTGAGGCTAAATGGGGGACCTTTGTCTTTGTGTACATGCATGTGTGCTCGCTAACAACACTTGCCCCTACAGTCTGTTAAGGCTACACTGGCGACCCTTTGTCTTTGTGTCTCCGGGGGTTTGGCAGGGGCGAGTGTGGGGGCTGACGGGAGAGCTCCAGTTTAATGAGCTCGGCGTGAACCCCCACCTGCAGTTCGAGGTCCTGGGCACCAGCTACGCCGACGGCGGCCAGGAGAAAACCGTGCGGAAGGTGGGAGAGCGTGAGCGTCCACCAACAAAGACAAAGGTCCCCCGTGTAGCCTTGACATAACGTTCGGGGCAAGTGCTGTTCGCGAGCGGACTATTCAGGCGGGCGACACGGCGCGCGAGGGGGTGTGTGGCCAACACCATGCCCGGCCGCCTTTGTCTACCCAATGGCGTTAGTTACACACGGCACCAGGTCCTCATTTGAGGCTGAGTCGACCCAGGGGAGGCCCAGGACCGGTTCGGGTAATGGTCACCGGCGTTGGCCGTGAGCGGCAATCGAACTCGGGTCATCGGGGTCGTAGTGCAGCACGCTAATCACTGCACAACCGCTCACCACAAAACACACGGAAACGCAAACGCACACGCGCACATGCACGCACACGCGCACACACACGTGCCCATGATCTCAATCCCGAGCCCCCCGCTGCTGTCCGCGCCTGGTGGTGCTGAATTTGCTCGACATCCAGATGGGACCCACTGAGTGAATGAGCCTAAGGCTCAGTGGGTTTATCTACACGGGAATGTGGACGGACAGACACAGCGGTTCTGACCGCATGGGGTAGCTGTGCACAGAAAAAGACGAAGAAAAAGTTCCGCGCTGGTTTCGCCTCTCGCGTAAACTGTCGACGCGGGTTTCGGTGTCGGCGAGCGCCCATTAAGTTCGCCGTGGCGGCGCGCGAGAGGTTGGTGTGGCCACCACCATAATCTCTCCACTCACCAGTGCTGATGTTGAAACACAACATCATGCTCGGCCGCCTTCGTCTCCCGAGTAATGATGTTGAAACGCCACACCTTACCCCAACCACGTTTGTCTTGACCAAGTACCGTTGTTTACACAATTCCACACTCTCTGAGTTGACCTATGGGTGGCTCTCATGGTTCGAACATCACTGACCACTGATGTGAGTTATCGACGCGTTTTCTCTCTCTCTCGAGAGAGAGAGAGACAGAGCGCCGTGCAATACTCCCCTATAGCCATTGAAGTGGACAGAGCGCTAGGAGGGATGATGGGCAATGGGCGAGACTGGTGACAGAAGGGCAGCCAGAAGGAGAGGGGGGCCACCTGAGATTCATGACCAGCGAGGAAGAGCTGGAGGGGGGGGGGGGTGTGGTGGGCGGGGGAGGGGGTGGTACAGGGTGGGGGGGGGGCAGGGGGGTGGGGGGCGGGCAGCGAGGATGGACGGGAATGGGGGGGCCTTCATCCAGCAATGGCCGGAGAAGTAAAAAGAGGTGTTCAGTCGTTTGGGGATAGATGATGATGATGATAATGATGAGATTGATCATGGTGTTTCTGGTGTAGGTATGCATGCGTGCACGCGGTCACGCTCGCAATACGTGCCCACGTGCGCACGCTTGTACGCACGTGCGTACGTTGAAGTTGTCTCGCACCGCACGTAGCCCAACCGTGCGAGGCGCGTAACCCGCTCCATTTTTCCGTCGCCCCCAGCTCGGCGTCTGGGACCCCGTGAATGGACTCAACGGCTCGCTGAGTGACAGCATGCCAGGACGCAACATCCGCGGGGTCACGCTCAAGGTGGCTGTTGTGCTGGTGAGGAGAGGGGGGGGGGGCGGGACAGATGAGTGCTCGGACAGTCGGGTGGGTGGCCGTGATTGGGCAGCGGGCGTGTGGTTGTTGTCGCCGTCAAGGAGGACTGCCAGGGCGCTCGTTCGCTGGGTCAAGGGCATTCGCATATATCGAAAGCAAGATTCATAAAAGTCTAAAATATTCATGGGTTCGGCGGTTTTGCAAGTGGTGTTATTTTTTCATTGACACAAGTCCTTCGATTTCAAGTCTAGGCGTTCACGACCGTTATTATAATTTGTAATAGGTTTGCTTTTTTTTGTTAGGTTGTCGTGCAGGTATGATGTCAATGTTTCACGATAACCCCCCACCATCTGACAGGGACAATCAAATCGAATTGTCACGTGGGCAACAATTGACAAGTTAAATGGCATGAGTGGAACAATTGTCACCTCAATGGCAATGTGATTATCCTGATTCGGGGTGTATGTTTTTCCATGCATTGTTTCTAGTGAATGCAGTCAGACGTCATCAAAACTAAAAAAAAACAGCATGCCGAGTTCCTCTTCAATCACGTGACTGCCTCGGGGGAATGGGGAGACCCCCCCCCCCAATCCCAGGGGGGGAGCCCCCCACGGGAGAAGCAGCCAGAGGCCACCAGCAGTGGCCCCCCACCCCAACCCCCCACCGACCTTACCCCCTACCCTCACCCCCTGCCCTCACCCCCTCCCACCCCTCACCCCCTCCCACCCCTCACCCCCTCACTTCGAGTGGTCCTCGCAGCGATTGAGCGTTGCGATCCGTATTCAACGATCGATTCATTATGACCACGACGTCATTGCTGCGGTTGAAGAGTCACGTTCCTACCGGCGGCCCGGTAAAAATCACGTGACCTCGGGGGGCCAACGTTGGCAACGCGTGGGCCGCCCCCCCCCCCCCCCCCCGATCCTGACATCCCACGTTTCGGGAAAAGAAGAAGAAAAGAAATGAAACGTTGATAATTGGTTTTTTACCCTTCTATCTGGCAAAAAAAAACTGACACCATTTCTACAAGGAGTCATGTTTGCATAGACCGCAATACCTGCAGTCATAATGCAAACAAAAAATATGGGTTGGACCCATGTGAGACTAGGCTCTAAGGAAAGCTGTCTCGGGTGTGGACCAATCAACTTCAAGGACAGTGCACATTATCAGAGTTATGTTTTTTGTTTGCATTATGGCTGCAGGTATTGTGGTATATGCAAACATGACTCCTTGTAAAAAAGGTATCCGTTTTGTTGCCAGATAGAAGGGTAAAAAACCAATTATCATATTTTTTACTGGCAAATGAGGTTCCAATGGTGTAAATGAAACGTTGCTGGAGCTGACGAAGGGCCGTCTTCATCGGGCGGCGAGTGGGCCAGACACGGCGCGAGGAGCCGGACGTTTGAACGTCGCGAGGTCCCCCCCCCCCCCCCCCCGTGCGAAGTGCTCGGGCGAGAGTCGATGGCGATGCTGTCCCGTCGATTGTGGCCCGCCGTGGCCACGTTTCCGGGACGAGTCCCATTGAAGGTTTTCTTTTTCAGCTCGGGCTGATGACGGTGACGACGGCAGTGCTGATGAGAAACAACATCATGGTGGTGGTAGTGGTTTATCTGGAGGGGGGCTGTGGTGCGGCGGTTAGCGCGCTGCGCCACAGACTCGGCGGCCCGAGTTCGATTCCCACTCAAGGCCAACATCCAGTGACGATTATTTTGAACCAGTCCTGAGCCTCCTCTGCGTCGACTCAGTGTCAAATGAGTACCTGGTGCGGTGTGTAAACATCGCCATTAGGGAGACAAAGACGGCCGGGCGTGGTGCTGGCCACCCACCACCTCGTGTGCCGTTTCAGCCTTTATAGGTGCTCGCTAACAACACTTTCCCTAACAGTCTATTAAAGTTATTGGTGTATTGGATGTCGCCAACCTGATTTTTATACCCTAATAAATATTAGAATTAATCAATCCCTTTGGAAAACAATACAATATGTGCACTTAAAATTACGTTTATTTACTGTGTAAACCATTGGCATTCACACTGGATAAATAATAATAATAATAAGCGGGATAGATTATTGCAATGTGCATTAGATGTTCTAGACATACATAGCCTCTCTGGTGTACAACCCAACCATCTGAGAATGTTATAAAACTGAGCTACTAATATATCTATGTCCATATTATGCTGAGATGTTACCGGTGGCTTGTGGAGACCTTCATACAGCAGTGGATTGACCATGGTTGACAGTTATTCAAAAACATCATTAATACCTTAGATGACGGAGTGGTTAGTAACTCTATTTTTAAATGTCCATTTGTAACAGCGAACTATTTAATAGCAATCATAACTCTAACCCAACGAGCGAATATGCGGACGAACACGAATCCATTGGCGAGAGTCAATGAATCGACCGAGACGCCGGCCACGGCAAACGGATGAGGCGGTGACCTCACCGTCCGCGTGTGCACTCCAAGCAGCGTGCTAACCGCTGCACCACAGCTCCTTTTACAGATAAAACACCGCCACCACCAGCCAGCCAGCACCGTCATGATGTCGTTTCCTTCTAGATTTGAAGCGTTCGTGACTGCAAGGATTCATACTCTCAGTTCTTTCGGTAAAGTCATGTAGGTAAAAAAATAAAATGAAATTAAAATTAATAAAAATAAAATAATAAAATCACGACGTTTCGGAGGCAACACAAGTCTCCGTCATCAGGTGGGACCGTCACAGCCATTTATTTTTTACCTATGTGACTTTACCGAAAGAACTGAGAGTATGTCGTTCCCTGTCAGCACTGCCATCGTCATGTGACGCACAGGGGTTCAGTCGGCCACAAGGGGGGTGGGGGGGGGCCAGAATTGACAGATATAAACAAGATAATTGATTTTTTGCCCTTCTATCTGGCAAAAAAACTGACACCATTTTACAAGGAGTCATGTTTGCAAAGACCACAATACCTGCAGCCATAATGCAAACAAAAAACATAACTCTGATAATATATGCACTGTCCTTGAAGTTGATTGGTCCACACCCGAGACAGCTTTCCTTAGAGCCTAGTCTCACGTGGTTTGGACCAGATGACGCCAAAAGGCGCACAACTCAAAGACAATACACCATCAGAATATGAGAGGTCGGGGTAAGCATTTACACACACAAGATATAAACAAGTAAACGAAAAAAATATTAAAAATGTTTTTATTAATTGAAATGTTTTTGGGTTAGATCGTGTACATATACATGTGTCGTTAAACCCGCCACCACCCGGCACAGCCAAATAGTATGGTTCGTCACGTAACTGGTTCAGCGCACCGGTGTGTTGGAGAGCAAACCCACAACATTTGCTCAAAAACCTCTGTTATGGACAATGTTGGTCGCGAAAGCCTACGCGTTGAACTCATTAAAATATTTTCTGCGGTCTACCATGGGTGAAGCCCGATTAAAGCGGCATAAAGTAGCACGATCCCACACCCTTTGAGGAAATCCGAGACCAATGGGTCCCAGCATGAAAGCAAGACGCACGATAACTTAATTGTGACTATTGTAACCTTTAAATGTCTTTATTAATCCAGTCACCTTCATCTAAACTTGTGGTCGTTAACCTTTACTGCAGCCTTGCACCCCTTTGGTTCTCAATCATAGAAAATATAATGTTAGCAGATACATAGGTGTGATGAAACAAAGTAGTTGCAACTTACCTGCCCGTGCTTTATTTGCGTTCCGATGAGTTACTTTCTTGCAAAAAAAGTCTGGCCGTGTCTCGCACACCCACTGCTCTAAAACCCAATACACGGTGTAACTAAAATAATATGTACAAGGTGTTTAAAAAATAAATGTTAACACTTCTATGGGACTTTCGTTTTTAATGGAAAAATAACGGATATTACACTCTAACGTGATGACAAATGCAATGTTAATAGCTTCAAGAAGTCAAGAGTCTCCACTGGTTCGCCATCATCGTCAACGCGTGCCTGGAATCTTCTCCAGGTGGTCTCCAGAGCCCGGAGGCACATCTATTGTGCTGCTATTGTTGCAAATTCTCAGAAGTGTTAATATTATTTTTTTAAGCACCCTGTATATAGTTATAAAAACATCCGTAGCTATTTCAGTGAAAGTGAGTCGGGAAGAAAGGAGGGGGGGCCCACAGTCATATCTTGCATACCCCCCCTCCCCCCCCCATGACATAGGCTATTGCGCTCCTGGTTCCAAGCGAAGGACCAGGCAACGCTCTCTCAGGCAGACCTGACCTTTCGCTCAATAACTTAGGCCTCGGGGCAGCTTCAGTCCGCATGCCTTGGTTGCAACTCGGCGTTATTTTTCCCAAGTGGTTGAACCTTCGATGAACTCCCAAGCTCAGGGAACGGCCACTTTGTGAGAGTTACAATCTGTAGCTCGGCAGCCTTTCCTTTTACTCCGAATAACAATAATAATTCATAATATAGGTTTTTTTTGGGTTAGGTTGCGTAAATATGTGTCGTTAAACCCGCCACCACTCGAAACGGCCAATTAGTAAGGTTTGTGACGTTAACAGTTGGAAATGTACGCGATATATGATATTGGTCGCGAAAGCGTACGTGTTAAACAATAATAATCATCATAATAGCAAAGAAAATACCTCCAAATGTTATTCCAGTTATGCCACTGACGTCATTGTCATTTCACCACCTCGTCCGGAGCCCTTGCAGCGCGGTGCCATGAGCCTTTGTGTTCGAGAACGGTCCGCTGAAGGTGATGTCGCAGAACTGCTTCCGAGACCCCCTGCTGATAATAATGATTGTGAGTTCGTACGTTCGGTGTTCGCAGGGCTATCGCGACGGAATCCGCCGCTGTGTTTCACCGACACGGTCTGCGGTAGCGTCACATTACGGGGGACGGGCGATGCTGCTGCTGTGTAAATCCAACCGAATAATTTGCGGGTCCATTGAACAAAAAATGACAAATTTGGATGACTTTTGCGAGCAAATTAATGAACGAACGAACGATCGAGAGAAGGAGCAAGCATGACTGCCCGCGGCTCGCAGGACCCGCCGTTCGTGATGAAGGCGAGCAACGTCCTGGGGCAGCCCAAGCGCTTCGTGGGCTTCGCCGTCGACGTGCTGGAGGAGCTGTCGCGTCACCTGGGCTTCACCTACGACCTCTACCAGGCGCCCGACAACAGCTACGGCCGCCCGGGGCCTGGCGGCTCCTGGAACGGCTTGCTCGGGGAGATCCTGCACAAGGCACGGACGCGCACGCACGCACGCACATGCACGCACGCACACGCACGCACATGCACGCACGCACACGTGCAGACAAAGATCCCACCGTGTAGCCTTCAACAGGTTCATCTTCTTGGTTCTTTCAGTAAAGTCACGTAGAAGGGAAATAATAAAATAAAATAAAAATAAAATTTAATAAAATACAATTCTCACGACGTGTCGGCCACAACGCAAGCAGCCGTCCTCAGGTGAAGAACAGGGTTGTCGGAAAGACAGCGTCAACAGGTTGTTGGGGAAAATGCTGTTAGCGAGCACATATAAAGTCACGTGTGCGCAGTCGCGGCAAGGGGGAGGGGAAGGTTTGGGGGTGGGTGGGTGACTTAGAAATGGGGGGGGGGGGGGGGGGGGGTAATATTCCTGCTTAGGGACCCCTGATGGTGGCAGAACCACCCCTGGCCTTGTGGAAACTGGCGGAGGAAAATGTTGGTCTCGGGGGGGGGGGGGGGGATAGGGAGGCGTGAGTTTGGGGGGGGGGGGCGGGGGTGTTGAATGAAAAATTGGCCAAGCAAATGAAGTGACCGTAATTTGAGTCGAAAATTTGGAAGCAAATGGGGAAAGATTTGAATTAATTAGCCGAAACACTGATAAATTGATTTTAATTAAGCTCAAAATGAAAGCACAAATATAATTCATGCATCGGGAGGGTGGGGATGCCGGGGGCGGGGGTGGGAGTAGGCGGAGTGGGTGGAGAAGAGGGGGGGGACGAGGTGGGGGGGTGGCGCTGAAATTGAAGGAGGGAAACGAATTGGTTTAATTTCAGACCAAAATGCTCATTTTCGGCCAGTGAGTCTACGTGTATGTGAGCATGGAGGGAGTGGCGGTGCAGCGGTTAACGCGAGCTGCGCTACGAACCCAGCGACCCGAGTTAGATCCCCACCAATGACGATAATGTGAACCGGTCCTGCGTCTCCCCTTGGTCGACTCAGCCTCAAATGAGTACCTGGTGCGGTGTGTAGACATCGCCACCGGGAAGACAAAGGTGGCCGGCCACCCACCCGGTCATGTGTCGTGCCGGCCTTCATAGGCGCTGCTAGCTCGCAGCTCTTGCCACAACAGTCTGTTGAGGCTTTAACGGGGCGGATCTTTGTCTCGTCTATGTGCGTGTGTTCGTGCACGCGCGCGCACTCAGCCATTACTCCGCGAGAAAGGAGGCCCATCTCTCTGAACGCGTTCAAAGAATCCTCAAGGCATTAGCGACCGCGCACGAGCAATTTGCCTCTTTCACTGAGCAGCTTGAAGGAATGTTCGAGCAGCTCGTGACTGTAACGTCCGCCACTGATGTCGCCGTCTCACGCAACTCCGAAGACGCGTCTCGTTCGCGTTGCAGATTTCCAGGAGGTGTTCGGTTTCGACGTCTTCCAAGGCATCCGCGAGGGTCCTCTGTGCGGTGTTGCCTCGACGTTTATGTTACGAAGAACCGTGTTAGCATTTGTTCCTGAAGATTACACCATTCAGTGTCAATGTTTTACAACCCGACATGCATTTTTTTTTATCAGCTCTACATCTTATTCTTTTTATTCCACAGCAGCTCATAATCCAATCGTGGTTTTTGCGAGCTTTCACGATCTCTCAAACCTTCGGCACGCGCCGCCGGACGGAGCGTCGCCAGCATATTCAACCTGCGCGGTTCAGAATGGTGACTTCACGTAACTGTTGAGAGATACGCACACGGGAGGGGGTGGAGCTTAATTTATCTCCCGTTATTATCTGGCAAGCACAGCCAGAGCGAGAGGAACACCGGATGTGGCATGCCGATTCCTGCAAATATATATTTTCCGTCGGTCGCTGGTAGAGCAAAGTTAGCGGTAAGTGGCCAGCAGTAGCTGCAGCCAGAGCGAGGAGTATACTGGATGTGTTGTGCCGGGCGAGGACAAATCTTCTGCGTCACCGACCCGGACAGACCCGGTGAAAATTAAACCCTTAGTATATGAATCTCTTTTTATGGAGTTGCCTTGCAAATCTTAATATAACGGACGATACCTTCACGTGCACCCTGTACACCCTGATAAGACCAACCAAATGGGCTCGATCAGTCGTTTATCGCCGCCGATAAGGACGGCCGCGGTGCCTCGGAGGTTGTTAATTTTTTTCTGGATGGGGGACGGAGGAATCGGCCTGCGGGAGCGATTCCTGGACGCTAAGATGAAAATTGAGGCCTTCCCACTCCGGCATCCACCTCGCCACCCACCTCGCCCGGCAGATAAAGCGTCGTCACAAATAAATGGGTAACTAAGCAGGAGAGCGTATATTTATATATATAAATAAATAATAACCTTCGTCATTTTGTTACGGAATTTTCATTAAGTCCACGGGCCAGTGGGAATGAATAAATGTTTTGTTGTTTAATTCATCCGCGTTTTTAAATTATGTTGAGAAGCTGTTTTGCCAGCGAGCATTACTAATGGGGCTGATAATGATCCGGTAATGAAAGACTGCCTCTGTTCCGCACCACTAACGAGACGCTAATTTGTTAACCCCTTCCGAAATCTGACGGTGGATAGAATTGTGGGATTGTGTGGAGGGGGAGGAGGCGGGGGGGGGGGAGGGGATGTGGGTGGAGGGGGGGTGGGTGGAGGGGTGGGTGGAGGGGGGGTGGGTGGAGGGGTGGGTTGGTGATTGGGTGGAGGGGTGGCGGGCTGCACACAGTTTGGAGCCACGCGCGCGCGCGGTTTGGTCACTCAGAAACGTGCAACCGCTAAGAGCCCTAACTGCACGCGTTTTCAACTTGCAGCCGTGACGTGACGTCGCGGGGCGGGGCGGGGAGGGAGTCTCGGGGTCGTTACATGTGGCTGCCTTTCATGAGCGGTGGGCCCCATCCACCTGCTACCAAATGCGCACTTTGATTCTATTAGGGCAATTAGCACTCCAATGTGGGTCAAAATCAAGATTCAAATGGAGCTTTGAGTTGGGGGCAGACTGCCATTGTGTGGGCTAGTTTAATGAGACGGGAGTAAAGTTTAAAATCCCCGATGTAATTGTTCCTTTTTAGTTTAGTTATTTTTCCGCGGCGTTTTTAATCGAGTTGCAATTTTTTTTGTTTGTTAACTGAAAAAAGGTTCATTCTCCTCTCTTGGAAAAAAAAAGAGTGGGATAATTACATCTCGCACCTCCAGGAATTATCGTTTACTGTTCGCGCAACCGGCGCTTTTGCGCCACGACAATGCGTCTCCAGTCCGTTGCTCGCGTTGTTCGCCAGTTCGCACAGTCGCGGCTCGTTCCGGTCGCGCCTTTGAAGGGTCGCCCCTTAGTGCGGTCGCTGACTTCGCGCGGTTCCCACCCCTGCCCCCCCCCCCCTCCTGATCCGCAGCAAGCGGACGCTGGCCTGGGCGCGATGGTCATCACGCCGGAACGCGAGTCGGCCGTCGACTTCACGGTGCGCTTCCTGGACCGCGGCGTCGCCGTGATGCTGCGCCGGCCCGACCCCTCATGGCACCTGCTGTCGTGCCTCTCGCCCCTGGAGCCCGCCGTCTGGACCTGCCTCTCGGTCACCGTGTGCCTCGTGGGCGTCCTCGTGCACCGCCTCAACGAGCTGCACGGCAAGGACGACGGCGGTGGCAGTGCCAGCGGAGGCACGGCCGACGACGATGACTATGAGGTAGGGCGGGGACTAGCGGCTGAGCGAGCGTGACTATTGGACAGTGGGCAGGGGGCTAGCAGCTGAGTGAGCGTCGCTATTGGACAGTAGGCAGGGGGCTAGCGGCTGAGTGAGTGGGGCTATTGGACAGTAGGCAGGGGGCTAGCGGCTGAGTGAGTGTGGCTATTGGACAGTAGGCAGGGGGCTAGCGGCTGAGTGGGCGTGGCTATTGGACAGTAGGCAGGGGACTAGCGGCTGAGTGAGTGTGGCTATTAGACAGTGGGCAGGGGGCTAGCGGCTGAGTGAGCGTGACTATTGGACAGTAGGCAGGGGGCTAGCGGCTGAGTGGGCGTGGATATTGGACAGTAGGCAGGGGGCTAGCGGCTGAGTGAACGTGGATATTGGACAGTAGGCAGGGGACTAGCGGCTGAGTGAGTGTGGATATTGGACAGTGGGCAGGGGGCTAGCGGCTGAGTGGGCGTCGCTATTGGACAGTAGGCAGGGGGCTAGCGGCTGGGTGGGCGTGGCTATTGGACAGTAGGCAGGGGGCTAGCGGCTGAGTGAGTGTGGCTATTGGACAGTAGGCAGGGGGCTAGCGGCTGAGTGAGTGTGGCTATTGGACAGTAGGCAGGGGCTAGCGGCTGAGTGGGTGTCGCTATTGGACAGTAGGCAGGGGACTAGCGGCTGAGTGAGTGTAGCTATTGGACAGTAGGCAGGGGGCTAGCGGCTGAGTGAGTGTGGCTATTGGACAGTGGGCAGGGGGCTAGCGACTGGGTGGGCGTGGCTATTGGACAGTAGGCAGGGGGCTAGCGGCTGAGTGAGTGTGGCTATTGGACAGTAGGCAGGGGGCTAGCGGCTGAGTGAGTGTGGCTATTGGACAGTAGGCAGGGGGCTAGCGGCTGAGTGAGTGTGGCTATTGGACAGTGGGCAGGGGGCTAGCGGCTGGGTGGGCGTGGCTATTGGACAGTAGGCAGGGGGCTAGCGGCTGAGTGGGTGTGGCTATTGGACAGTAGGCAGGGGACTAGCGGCTGAGTGAGTGTGGCTATTGGACAGTAGGCAGGGGACTAGCGGCTGAGTGAGTGTGGCTATTGGACAGTAGGCAGGGGGCTAGCGGCTGAGTGGGCGTGGATATTGGACAGTAGGCAGGGGGCTAGCGGCTGAGTGAACGTGGATATTGGACAGTAGGCAGGGGACTAGCGGCTGAGTGAGTGTGGATATTGGACAGTGGGCAGGGGGCTAGCGGCTGAGTGGGCGTCGCTATTGGACAGTAGGCAGGGGACTAGCGGCTGAGTGAGCGTGGCTATTGGACAGTGGGCAGGGGGCTAGCGGCTGGGTGGGCGTGGCTATTGGACAGTAGGCAGGGGGCTAGCGGCTGAGTGAGTGTGGCTATTGGACAGTAGGCAGGGGGCTAGCGGCTGAGTGAGTGTGGCTATTGGACAGTAGGCAGGGGACTAGCGGCTGAGTGAGTGTGGCTATTGGACAGTAGGCAGGGGACTAGCGGCTGAGTGAGTGTGGCTATTGGACAGTAGGCAGGGGGCTAGCGGCTGAGTGAACATGGCTATTGGACAGTAGGCAGGGGGCTAGCAGCTGAGTGAGTGTGGCTATTGGACAGTAGGCAGGGGACTAGCGGCTGAGTGAGTGTGGCTATTGGACAGTAGGCTGGGGCTAGTGGCTGATTAAGCATCGCTATTGGACAGTAGGCAGGGGACTAGCGGCTGAGTGGGCATCGCTATTGGACAGTTGACAGGGGACTAGCGGCCGCGTGGGCGTTGCTGTCGAAACTCCAGTCAGGGTTGACGGATCTCACCGTGAGTCCTGGGGTTGAGCCTACACCGAAATGTCAATGCAGTCAGGGCAGCTGCTGCACGCGAGCTTGGCAACGGCGTTTGAAGGGTAAGAAAACAACAACATTGCAACGCAATCGGGAGGCACCTGCGCGAAACAACGGAACTCGCCTCCAATGTTGAGTTTCTTTCGCCCCCGGCGGGCGGGCGAATTGGAATCTCAACGCCTGCGTCCGTATCTCCCTGTCGTTCCAAAATCGGCGGCGCCACCTCCCGTCCGCCCGGGGAGGACATGGACGACGACGCGGATGAGGACGAGGAGGAGGAGGAGGACGACGCTGGAGAGGAGGAGGACGACGAGGACGGCGTCAACGCGGAGGCGCGGGCGAGCGAGAGTGGCAGCGGCAGTGGCCGAGACGGATCCGGATCCGCCGTGCGGCGGCGGCGGCGCGCCAGCTCGGCCTCCTGCCGGCGCAGGGCCCGAGGTCCGCGCGGCGGTGGCGGCGGTGCCGGTCGTGGTGGCGCCGGTGGCGTCGGTGGTGGGAGACTAAACAAACCCCTCAGCATCCCGACCACAATCTGGGCCCTCTACTCTGCGCTGATGCAGCAAGGTCGGTTGTGGATGGGTTTTGGTGTCTGTGCATGAAAAAAAGAATAGGGTTTACCCTTTCTGGCAATAAAACAGGAGGTGTTAGAATGTTCAAATACCAAATAGAAACCTTTTGCAGGAAATCAAGTGTGTATTAACCACTCACGGTACTTGTGGTGAACATGCAAATATGCATTGTCTTTCAAAAGTGATTGGCCTCCACCAGAGACACTGGTGAGACTAGGCCTTCTTCGTGGCCTAGTCTCACCAATATCAGAGTATCTGTAGCTCGGTAGTGAGCAGCTTTATCATGGGACCTTTTTGTGAGCTTTGCCCGTCCGTCTGCAATGTGGAGGGGGGAAGCACACTGGATGGTTGTCGGCGAGTCCGAAAGGAGGCACACTTCACCATTAGGCTGTGTTGTCGATAGCCACCTTTCCCTCTTGACAAATGAACGATAGGGTTCGCCCAAAACCGTCAAAGACACAATCCACCGAGCGCTAGGATGGATACCTTCTGTTGAATCTCAATGGGCAACGGGATCCAGCGGAAAACTATGCGACCACCAAATTTACCCGCGTTCACCCCGGTCATATACTATGGACACAAAGCACTTGTGCCATCGCGTTCGTAATGTGTGAATTGTCCTTTGTCGGGGATTTTCATTTTTTGTCATAGGCCGTCTCGTGGAGGTGTTTTTTCTGAATTGTCTAGAGGTGAATTTACCGAAAGAACCAAAGAGTATGGATTCCTGCAGTCACGAAAGCTTCAAATCAAGATTGTCTAGAGGTCTACAACGCGACGTTTTTTTGCGATCCGCCATCCGCGCAATCACGGTCCGCTGTACCGCAATTGGCCACCGCTGTGTTGGCGTAACCAGAATTGGAAAACGTTGCTTTTTCGTTTGCTATTTTTTTTCGCCTTCCCGTTTTTAAGCATCGACTTGGACTCGAAAATGCCAGCGTTAAATCCCCGGCACTTCGAGAACCCCGTTAGGATACGCGTCAGTCATTGGCACGGTCGGTCGGTCAATCACAGAAGTTATCCACGCGGTGTGTGCTCGGTTAACACAGATCAGATTAACGACGTTCCCTCTCCTCGACGGGGGGAGACAGGGTGGGGCTGCGGGAAGCAAGATCACAGTTGACAGAGGGCGAGAGGACGGAGCGCCGTCAGACATTAACGCTCGCGTTATCGCTCGTGATAATGTCCCAGCGTGCACAGATTTCACCCCTCCCCCCCCACCCCCCGATCATTTTTTTTACGATCTCCTTTATATAACTGAAAGTTATTTATATTTTTATCACGTCGATTTTAAAAATGTTAGGACTCCCCGTCGTAAATTTTATCTTACACCTCCGCAGTGAGCGTCCGAATTAGTTATGTTTTATATATTTATATACGTGTATATTTTACAACGGGGGTGATAATTTATATGAAATTGACGCGCGGGCACACATGGACATACTCGTGCAACGCACGCACACACAAAGCCAAAGATCCCCCGTATAGCCTTTAACAGGTCCGTTGGCGCAAGTGCCATTAGCGAGGACCTATGAAGGCCTGCACACAAGGGGGAGTGCCAGCATTCTGCCCGGCCGCCTTTGTCTCCCCAATGCTGATGTTTACATACCACACCAAGTACTCATTTAAAGCAACATAGGAGAGGCACAGGACCGGTTCACATATCCATTACCGCTATTAGCCATTAGTGGGAATCGAACTCGGGCGGCCGTGTTTGTGGCAGAGTGCGCTAACCACTGTGCCAACGTTCCTCACCCACGTGAGCCACTCATTTCTATTTTAATTTTACCAGGTAAGGCCCACGGAACCACGTAGCTCTTTCTCAGATGCGACCTGGCCACAAATGATAGCTCGACGCGGTGGCTTATCATCACGTGGAAATGTATAGCAGCCAAATACTCTAAACGCGTGATGTTGAGTCTCAATGTGGTGGGAAAAACCGGAGGACCCGGAGAACAATTCACGCGACCACGGTGAGAGAGACACGCAAAACTACAAATATACATTTTTGATTTAAAGCTTTCGTGACTGCAGGGATTCATATTCTTGGTTCTTTCGGTAAAGTCACGTAGAAGGGAGATAATAAAATAATATAAATATTAAACAATAAAAAAAACAATTATATTTATATTATTTTATTATCTCCCTTCTACGTGACTTTACCAAAAGAACCAAGAATACAAATATACAGTCGTCACGGTCGAGATGGATCGTCATTGTTAAGGCTGAGTAAATCTAGAGGACGCTCGCCGTTGTTAGCCGTGGTCGGGAATAAAAGTCGGGTCGCTCGCGGGGTGCAGAACGCGATGTGCTAACCATTCCACCTCCGCTCGCCACACACACACATGCATACGCACCAATACACGCGCATTGATCAAACGTAAACACTCACGATCCACTGCTGCGTATTCCACGTTCCCATGGCGGGGGCCAGTCCGTCCAATATCCGTCGACTGCTGAATCTCCCACGATGTGTTTGCATGCTTTTAATGAAAACCAGGTGGAAGGAAATTTTGAGAGCTTAACGAAGTGGCTTATCGCGTGTAAATTTATAGCAGCCAAATTAATCTAAACGCGTGTCGATTATAAATGTGGAGGGAGGGAAAAAAAACCCGGAGTACCCGGAGAAAACTCCCAATATACAGCAAGCATCGTCAAGGTCGGGATCGAACCCACGACCTCCTGTATACCAGGCGAGGTAGTTAACATCTCATAGCCACCGTGACGCACGTATACATCCCCGACCTGCGCAAGGAAAGGTTACGCTGATATTTCTGCCGGCATTTGGCTGCATTCTCATTAGTGGGAAACCGAGTAACCTTTCCAAAAATTGTGCATTACTCGAATCACTTTTCATTTTCACCCAATATCTATCGATGACCCTCGAAGAGTCAGTGGCGGGTCTACCGAGCTTCCGTGGATGCCGCGTTGAGGCTGCGTCGGTGGTTGGCGTGGCGCTGCAAGTCGGCACGCGGGGAGCGGGAAGTCCCAGCGGGTTCGGGACTTAGCCGGGATTTATTGAAATTAATTGCAAAGCACTGGGTTGAATCAATGCGTGCGCTGCGCGTGCAACGTTAACATTGCACGCGTGAACGGGTTAAAGGCGCAGCCCTGCAATTGCCGGCTCTCGACACTGATTTTCGATCCTTTACGAACCAGCAAACCACTTCCAACCTTAAAAAACGACAAATCTATGGACCACAGTGCACCAATAACGTAGCTTTAGAAAATAAAAAAAAACCTCGCTATATTTCCAGTGTATGCAGCAGTTCCGTGGCTCAGTTCCTACTTGCCTTGCGGATCGCGAGTGGTTGTGGACCACAGATTGGGGGAACCACCGCCTTTGAGGATATTTTCTCCGCTCTTCCACGCTGGGCAGACGATGTTTTGGGAGAGGTGGAAATACCCACGCTTTAACGCCAAAGACAAAGATCCCTCTCTCGTATAACCCGAACAGACTGTTGGGGCAAGCTCTGTTAGCGAGTAGCACCTATGAAGGCCGGCACGGTGCACGAGAGGGTGGGTGGCCAGCACCACGCCCGGCCGCCTTTGTCTCCCTTTTGGCGATGTTTACACACCGCACCAGGTACACATTTTAGTCCGAGTCGACCTAGGAGAGCACCCAGGACAAGTTGAGATAATCGTTACTGGAGTTGGTCGTGAGCGGGAATCAAACTCGGGTCGCCGCGTTCGTAGCGCAGCCATAAGCACTTGCCCCAAAAGTATTTTAAGGCTATAAGGGGAGATCTTTGTCTTGTATCCATCTGTAGTCTGTTTTAGGGGGAGACTCAGAGCGGCTTTTGCCAATGTCACCGATGTCGTTATCTCCGCCTGCCTAACCCCCTCCCTCCCCTCCCCCCCTCCCCTCCCCCCTTCCCCTCCCCCCCTCCGCGCTGCGCCCAGGAGGGGAGCTGGTGCTGATGTCGGTGTCGGCGCGGGTCATGGTGGCCGTGTGGTGGTTCTTCACGCTCATCGTCGTCTCGTCCTACACGGCCAGCCTGGCCGCCTACCTCACCCTGTCGCGCCTCACCAGCCCCATCAGGTGCGTATCCCCAGCCGGGCGCTCCAACCAAACGTTTCAACCAGCGCGAGCGCTCTGGCCAGTGCTCTCTAGCCAGCGTTGTCCACCGGCGCGCTGCCCGCCGCTCCGACCAGCACTCCAGACAGCGCTCTCCAGCCAGTGCTCCAAACAACGCTCTGGCCAGTGCTCCGGCCAGCGCTCCGGCCAGCCCTCCGGCGAGGCTGCGTCATCTACCCATTCGCGGTGTTCCCCTGCGAAGCCGGCAGCCACCGCGTGCGCACTCGCGCTTCCCGCCGCTCACCCGGCGCGTGTCGTGCTGCCCAGCATTCAGTGCCGTTCCCAATTCCCCGTGCGTCTGCTCCTGGTTTCCCGGTGTTCACACACCGCGCGAGATGCGGAGATGGTCAAAATTTCTATTCAAATTACGAATTTGTATTCCGATGACAAATTACCGCAGGAAGCGTAACTATATACAAATCACCAATTACTTCGAGGAGTGTCATTTGGAGAGCAATTGCAAATGACAGATGTATTGAAATTCGGATTAAATGCAATTTAGATCCTGATGGAGTGGAAGAGGCACCGGCATGGGGAATGATGCGGAATCATCGGCAACGCGATGTTGACGATGGCGAACGGTGGAGGGCTTGTGGCTACAGCTGCTGGGAGCTGGAGGACCCCACGGCCCCTGTAAAGGGGTCGAGATCGCAAGAGATGGAGATTGTTTGGATAGCACCCATCTCTGCCGACAACCCCGAGTACGTTTCCAGTGTTTAGCTGCTTCCCCTCGCGTTTCCCGTTCTTCTGCGCACCCCCAGTTCTCTGCAGGAGCTCACGAGGCAGACGGAGACCCCCTCGTGTGTCTGAGTGTTCACCTGCAGGAGCTCACGTGACAGACGGAGACCCCCTCGTGTGTCCGAGTGTTCACCTGCAGGAGCTCACGTGACAGACGGAGACCCCCTCGTGTGTCCGAGTGTTCACCTGCAGGAGCTCACGTGACAGACGGATACCCCCTCGTGTGTCTGAGTGTTCACCTGCAGGAGCTCACGTGACAGACGGAGACTCCCTCGTGTTTCCGAGTGTTCACCTGCAGGAGCTCACGTGACAGACAGAGACCCCCTCGTGTTTCCGAGTGTTCACCTACAGGAGCTCACGTGACAGACAGAGACCCCCTCGTGTGTCCGAGTGTTCACCTGCAGGAGCTCACGTGACAGACAGAGACCCCCTCGTGTGTCCGAGTGTTCATCTGCAGGAGCTCACGTGACAGACGGAGACTCCCTCGTGTGTCCGAGTGTTCACCTGCAGGAGCTCACGTCACAGACGGAGACCCCCTCGTGTGTCTGAGTGTTCACCTGCAGGAGCTCACGTGACAGACGGAGACCCCCTCGTGTGTCCAAGTGTTCACCTACAGGAGCTCACGTGACAGACAGAGACCCCCTCATGTTTCCGAGTGTTCACCTGCAGGAGCTCACGTGACAGACAGAGACCCCTTGTGTGTCCGAGTGTTCACCTGCAGGAGCTCACGTGACAGACAGAGACCTCCTCGTGTTTCCGAGTGTTCACCTGCAGGAGCTCACGTGACAGACGGAGACCCCCTCGTGTGTCCGAGTGTTCATCTGCAGGAGCTCACGTGACAGACGGAGACCCCCTCGTGTGTCTGAGTGTTCACCTGCAGGAGCTCACGTGACAGACGGAGACCCCCTCGTGTGTCCGAGTGTTCATCTGCAGGAGCTCACGTGACAGACGGAGACCCCCTCGTGTGTCTGAGTGTTCACCTGCAGGAGCTCACGTGACAGACGGAGACCCCCTCGTGTGTCTGATTGTTCACCTGCAGGAGCTCACGTGACAGACAGAGACCCCCTCGTGTGTCCGAGTGTTCACCTGCAGGAGCTCACGTGACAGATGGAGACCTCCTCGTGTTTCCGAGTGTTCACCTGCAGGAGCTCACGTGACAGACGGAGACCCCCTCGTGTTTCCGAGTGTTCACCTGCAGGAGCTCACGAGACAGACAGAGACCCCCTCGTGTTTCCGAGTATTCACCTGCACCCCCCCCCCCCGTGCGTCCCCGCGCCCCCCCCCCCCCCAGTTCTCTGCAGGAGCTCGCGAGGCAGACGGAGATGTCGTACGGCACGGTGCTGCACTCGAGCCTCTACGAGCAGCTGCGAGCGCGCGCCGCCAACCCCGTGGGGCCCGAGCACGGCACCTACGCCAAGCTGTGGGAGGCCGTGAGCCGCAACAACGGCTCCGACAACTGCGTGCACAACCTGGACGAGGCCGTCCACCGGGTAGCGACCGCACTTGCGGCGCAGGGGTCACGCCGAGGTCACGCCGGGGTCACGTGGGTGCCACGCGGGGTCAAGCTGGGTCACGCGGGGTTACGCGCGGGGTTACGCTGGGTCACGCGGGGTCATGCGGGGTCACGCTGGGGTCACACATGGGGTTACGCAGGGTCACGTGGGTGCCACGCGGGAGTCACGCGGGGTCACGCGGGGTCACACAGGTTAACCACGGTAAACGCGTGGGTAACCGCGTGGGTAACCGTGTGGTAACCGCGTGCGTGCAGGTGAAGCGTGGGAACTACGCATTCGTGTGGGACACGGCGGTGCTGGAGTTCGCCGCGCTGTCGGACGGCGACTGCTCGCTGAGCGTGCGGAACGTCCACTACGACAAGGGCTACGGCATCGCCCTGCAGCACGGCAGCCCCTACCGGGACGCCTTCTCACAGCGGTGAGAGCCTGCGACCACCACCACGACGCACCACACACACGCACGCACACACGCGTACACACGTTCACACGCACGTTCACATAGACACACGCACACGTTCACATGGCAGGATCTGCCGGGACGCCTTCCCTCAGCGGTGAGAGCCGCAACCATACCGCACGCACACACGCGTGCACACGCGCACACACACGTTCACACGCGCGTTCACGTAGACACACGCACACGTTCACATGGCAGGATCTGCCAGGACGCCTTCTCCCACACACGCACACTTTGACACGCACACGTTGACAAGCGCACACACACACGCCGCACACACGCACGTTCACATCCACGCACATACACACACACACGCAATTACACACGTTCACGCACGCACACGCTTTCACACGCAGGCGTTCACGCACGCGTTCACATACGCACGTTCACATACGCGTTCACGTTCACACACCCCACACAGCTGCTACACACACAACACTGCCACTACACACACACGCAACTACCGACTCTCATACCCACTCTCGCTTTACTGTGCCACACAACTCGCGTTTGTTTCAAAAGCGGCCCCGCTAAAACGCATTTGAATGGAACTGTGAAAAACGACGGGTCATTCATTAAAACATAATCCACCCCCGCCTCCACCCAGACCAATCCTTCACCTCAAAGGCCTCCCACTTACAAACTCCATTAGCCGTGAGTCATCTGGCTTTGATCCAAGCCTCGTATACTTCACACGTTGCTTCGGTCCTCTCGCCGCCTTTGCGTGTCCCTCGCGGAGCCCAGGGCAAGGGGGCTCTCTCGTGTCGCCACCGGCCGAGGTAGCGTCAACTTCGGCTGTCCCGGTGTTTTCATTGTTGCGCGCGGTGGCAGAAAGTGCGCGCAGGAGCCGAAATGTCAATGCCGAGGTCTCCTGCCGGCTACCACGAGGGGGGCTTCAGCAGATCAGATCGATTCAAAATTAATACAAAAAGTAATTCGGAACATCTGACATTTCGCCTTTGGGGTTTTTTTTTCGGATTCATCTGAGAATCTCAAACGGAGCCCTCGCGGGAGAAGGGGGAGTTGGCGGTGCAGGGCTCAAGCTCGGCTCGTCCTCACTCGGTGCTCTCACAGTCACCTCGGTCTGCTCCCGAACCAGTCGCTCTGATTATGCCCCTTCTTGTTTGGCCTTACGTGGTGGCCAGATGTTAACTACCTCGCCTGGTATACAGGAGGTCGTGGGTTCGATCCCGACACTGATGACACCTGCTGTATATTTGAAGTTTGCATGTCTCTCTCTCATCATTATCATCACGGTAGCGAGGAGATGTTAACTACCTCGCCTGGTATGCAGGAGGTCGTGGGTTCGATCCCGACCCTGATGACACCTGCTGTATATTTGGAGTTTGCATGTCTCTCTCATCATTATCATCACGGTAGCGAGGAGATGTTAACTACCTCGCCTGGTATACAGAAGGTCGTGGGTTCGACCCCGACCCTGACACCTGCTGTATATTTGAAGTTTGCATGTCTCTCTCTCATCATTATCATCACGGTGGCTAGGAGATGTTAACTACCTCGCCTGGTATGCAGGAGGTCGTGGGTTCGATCCCGACCCTGATGACACCTGCTGTATATTTGAAGTTTGCATGTCTCTCTCTCATCATTATCATCACGGTAGCGAGGAGATGTTAACTACCTCGCCTGGTATACAGGAGGTCGTGGGTTCGATCCCGACCCTGATGACACCTGCTGTATATTTGAAGTTTGCATGTCTCTCTCTCATCATTATCATCACGGTGGCTAGGAGATGTTAACTACCTCGCTTGGTATGCAGGAGGTCGTGGGTTCGATCCCGACCCTGATGACACCTGCTGTATATTTGAAGTTTGCATGTCTCTCTCTCATCATTATCATCACGGTAGCAAGCAGATGTTAACTACCTCGCCTGGTATACAGAAGGTCGTGGGTTCGACCCCGACCCTGACACCTGCTGTATATTTGAAGTTTGCATGTCTCTCTCTCATCATTATCATCACGGTGGCTAGGAGATGTTAACTACCTCGCCTGGTATGCAGGAGGTCGTGGGTTCGATCCCGACCCTGATGACACCTGCTGTATATTTGGAGTTTGCGTGTCTCTCTCTCATCATTATCATCACGGTAGCGAGGAGATGTTAACTACCTCGCCTGGTATGCAGGAGGTCGTGGGTTCGATCCCGACCCTGATGACACCTGCTGTATATTTGAAGTTTGCATGTCTCTCTCTCATCATTATCATCACGGTAGCAAGGAGATGTTAACTACCTCGCCTGGTATGCAGGAGGTCGTGGGTTCGATCCCGACCCTGATGACACCTGCTGTATATTTGGAGTTTGCATGTCTCTCTCTCATCACTATCATCACGGTAGCGAGGAGATGTTAACTACCTCGCCTGGTATGCAGGAGGTCGTGGGTTCGATCCCGACCCTGATGACACCTGCTGTATATTTGGAGTTTGCATGTCTCTCTCTCATCACTATCATCACGGTAGCGAGGAGATGTTAACTACCTCGCCTGGTATACAGGAGGCCGTGGGTTCGATCCCGACCCTGACACCTGCTGTATATTTGAAGTTTGCGTGTCTCTCTCTCATCATTATCATCACGGTAGCAAGGAGATGTTAACTACCTCGCCTGGTATGCAGGAGGTCGTGGGTTCGATCCCGACCCTGATGACACCTGCTGTATATTTGGAGTTTGCATGTCTCTCTCTCATCACTATCATCACGGTAGCGAGGAGATGTTAACTACCTCGCCTGGTATGCAGGAGGTCGTGGGTTCGATCCCGACCCTGATGACACCTGCTGTATATTTGGAGTTTGCATGTCTCTCTCTCATCACTATCATCACGGTAGCGAGGAGATGTTAACTACCTCGCCTGGTATGCAGGAGGTCGTGGGTTCGATCCCGACCCTGATGACACCTGCTGTATATTTGGAGTTTGCGTGTCTCTCTCTCATCATTATCATCACGGTGGCTAGGATATGTTAACTACCTCGCCTGGTATGCAGGAGGTCGTGGGTTCGATCCCGACCCTGATGACACCTGCTGTATATTTGAAGTTTGCATGTCTCTCTCTCATCATTATCATCACGGTAGCAAGGAGATGTTAACTACCTCGCCTGGTATGCAGGAGGTCGTGGGTTCGATCCCGACCCTGATGACACCTGCTGTATATTTGGAGTTTGCATGTCTCTCTCTCATCATTATCATCACGGTAGCGAGGAGATGTTAACTACCTCGCCTGGTATACAGGAGGTCGTGGGTTCGATCCCGACCTTGACACCTGCTGTAGATTTGGAGTTTGCGTGTTTCTCTCTCATCATTATCATCACGGTAGCAAGGAGATGTTAACTACCTCGCCTGGTATACAGGAAGTCGTGGGTTCGATGCCTGCTGTATGTTTGGAGTTTGCGGTGCCTTTCTCCCCGTGGTCGTGTGGATTTTTCTCCGGGTCCCTCCGGTGGAAATTGGTGGAAAAATCCCACAGCTGCAACAGCAGCAGCAGCAGCAGCAGCTGCCTGAAAGAATATTGCGACCCTGGGTAAAGTAAAGGACATTATTCATAGTATTACCATAATTATTACCATAATGATTTACCATAATTATTACCATAATTATTACCATAATTATTACCATAATGATTTACCATAATTCCACGCTCAGTAATTTCACGCCAGTCTCTCTGTTGACAGCTCGTCCCCTCCAACCATTGCGCCGCCTTCGAGCGGCAGGCTCACGGCGTAGCGATTCAATGAAAAATGAATATCGTAAAAATCTACAAATATCCGACAGCATATATATCTGAGAAGAGGTTCATATTTTTCCGGTTTCATAAATAACATCCAGCATGCATACTGCATCTATCTCGCCTTTCCCTGTAAAGTGTTCCGCCCCTGGATTTCCATCATCACTTCAATTCGTCGCGTCTCTCGCCCGGTTCTGCCTTTCAACAGAGGTGGAGCTTCTTGATAGCAGGCCCACCGATTGGCTTAAAAATCACCCACTGGGTTATTTTCCCAAAAAAACGAAACGAAACGGGGTCACAAGTCACACGCGCGGTTCCGCCTCCGTTGCCTTGAGAAACGTTCAAAACCCGCTTCGTCACCTCTCCGCCGCGCTTTCCCGTCGTGCCACGGTGTCGCTCGGCTCGTGGGGTGGGGTGTCCGTCGTTTCGAATCCACGTGCTGCGAGAGATTTGTTTTTTCTTCAGGAAATTAATATTCGATCCGTGAAATATTAAAACGCGCCGGAGCGTTTCGCGCCACGACCGCCAAACCCACCGCGGTATTTTTTCGGTGACGGTTGAACCCCAGGGTTCTCGCATTCATAATTTTTTTCTTCCCAATCACCGACGAGAAAGCTCTCTTCGCACACCCGTCTGCAACGCGGCCTTCAAAGAAAGACCACGTATACATATTTAACGTTGGCGACGTTTCAGGCAATGGCCCTTCTTGACAATGTCAAAATGTCATCCTGATTATTCTCCCAAGATTACGAAATACCTTACGCGGGCAGGCGATGTCGCGGTGGGTCGGGGTCAGATGAGAGTGTTAGATGCGGCATTCACCTCTCCGCCGGGAGCTGAATCATCTCGAAAGAAAGAAAAAAAAGTCAAAAGTTATTTTTCCGCTCAGGTGAGCGTTGCGTGGCATCGCGGCTCACCGCCCCGTTTACCGCGCGGCAGAGCCGGCAGGTGGCATTTCCACATTGCCGCGGCGCTACCGAGTCGGCGAAACGGAGTGGCTGTCGAGCTTGGCGGAGCCCCTCGACGAACGCGTCCGCGTTACTCGGGGAGTCGCGATCGGCCCGAACGATTCCGAGGCAGCCGGAGCCCCCTGTGGTTTCCTGAACAAGCAAGCGGCAAACACCGCCTGCCGGCACGAGCCCAAAACAACGCGCGGAGCCGTGGAACGGACAGCCAGAGGCTCGGCGTGTTTAAACGCGTGATAATTTGGCGAATATTGATTTGTCAGCGTGCTAATGCGTCGATGCTAATGCGGAGCGGTAAATGCACACGGACTGCAGTGTCCCGCGAGGACGGTCAGCTGGAGGCGCTCTGTTAATCTGCGTTAACGTGGGGGACATTGACACGGTGGGTCTACGCGCGCGTGTGTGTGTGTGTATGTAGCTTGGGGGCCATCCATAAATGACGTCACGTTCCTGTGGGTGGGGGTGTCAAACATTTGTGACGATGTGTGACGAGGGGGGTTTCAGAAATGTGACGTCACGAAAAAATGCGCAACTTTAAATAAATATAGACAACACGTTCTACTTAATTAAATGGACTTTTTAATAAATGTTTTATCCGACAACATCAGAGTGCAGCGCCACATTAAATACGCACTACAATGACAATAGTTTATAAAGCGATTTGAAGCATGTTTTATATTTTTTTGGGGGGGGGGGAGGGCAGAGCTTTGTGACGTCATATTTGAGGTGGGGTCTGACTTTTTGTGACACCGTGTGACGACGGGGGGGGGGGGGGTCAAAAATCGTCCAAAATCACGTGACGTCATTTATGGACGGCCCCTTGGCGGGCTTGGGGGGCAGCGGTAATTCTACGGCGACCCGAGTTCCATTCCTGCTCACGGCCAACAACCAGTGAAAATTATCTGAGCCGGTCCTGGGCCTCCCTTAGGTCGACTCAGCGTCAAATGAATACCCGGTGCGGTGTGTCGACAAAGACACTCGGATGTGGTGTTGGCCACCCACCCCCTCGTGTGCCGTGCCGGCCTTCAAAGTTGCTCACGATCAGCACTTATCCCAACAGTCTGTTATAGCTATACGGAGGGCGGGGGGGGGCGTTGTGTTTGTGCGCGGGCGTATGGGCCCGTGTTAATTTAGGTTATAGTCCGTGAGTAATAATCTGGGTCAAAGCTAAATGTAAGGATGGCCGTGATCACCAACGTTGTTGAGAACTGACACGATACACAGAGATTCAAGCCTCGTCGACGACAACCTCTAAGGTCTTGGTCTACTCTTCCTCTAGACGCTCGAGCAGAGGTGGGGAAACATTTTTCTGTCAAGGGCCATTTGGATATTTATAGCATCATTCGCGGGCCATACAAAATTATCAACTTAAAAATTAGCCCGTTATATTTGGTCAAACATTTCATTAACTCACCCCTAATGCGATGGCTGGAACTGCTTCTTTTTGGCGAGGCGTGTGATGTTAGCTGGTATTGATGATGTTGCTACTCGCAACTGCTTTTCCAGGTTTGCTCCTAGAATTATTGAATTTCGAGTCCCGCCTGCGGTTGCCGTGGCAGGGCCACACCAAATGATTTCGCGGGGCCTGACATGGCTCGCGGGCCGGACGTTCCACACCCCTTGAAGTATGTTGGGGTAGAGAGGCCTATGTGGAGTAAGGGGCCTTTTTTTGTGCCGGTGCTGGTTTGTTTGTTGGGCCGCAGACGCCCGGTTGGCAGAGACGCCTCCTCTACGGTAGAAGGGTCACCGGTCTGCCACCTCCGCGTGATCGTGGCCGATGATGACATCGTCGCTCCCGTCAGCACCGTTGACCGGCGGTGGTCTTGCCGTGTGGACCGCAGCCTCGACAACACGTTACTCATACTCTTTGTTTTTTTCGGTTAAGTCACGTAGGTAAAACAATTAATAAAATAAAATGAATGAAAACAACTAAATTAAATAACGACGTTTCGGAGGCAACACACGCCTCCCTCATCAGGTGTTTTATCCACGTGACTTTATCGACAAAACCAAAGAGTATTAATCCTTGCAGTCACGAAAGCTTCAAATCTAGAATCATGTTACTCAGCCAGCCAGGGTCAGCACGCTTTGGTGATTTTTTTTTACCCGTCCTCTCGGTCGTGATTGGGACTGAGGTTAGAACCGCGCGCCCCCGACAGACGCTTTCCATCACCGACTCCGTGGGCGCAACTTGACGCTTTGTGCTTAAGGGGAGCGGTGGCGCTGCGGTTGGCGCTCCGCCGTGCTCCGGACCCGACGACGCGAGCTCCATCCCCGGCCACGGCCGACATCAGTGGCGAGCGATGTATGAACCCGGTCCTGGGACTGGACCCACGTCCCCTGATTCAACTCGAGCTCAAACGTGAACATCGGCGCTGATGGCTTGGCACGGTGCTGGCCATGCCACCGATCCCACCGCGTGCCCTGCTGAAATGCGCATTACAAATGTAAACAATGATTATTATTATTCACATCAGTGCTTGTGCCACGTGACTGTTCTGACGTGAGCAACGGTACTCCCCCCTCTCCCTCTGCCCCCCCTCTGCCCCCTCCCCCCTCTGCCCCCCCTGCCCCCCTTCTGCCCCCCCTTTACCCCCCCCCTGCCCCTCCAGGCTGCTGGAGCTGCAGGAGAGCGGCGAGCTGGAGGCGCTGCGCCAGAAGTGGTGGCCTCGGCGCGGGAAGTGCGACCCGTACGGGCCGGGCCTCCCCCAGCAGCGGCCCCCGGGCCTGGAGCTGAGCAGCCTGGCCGGGGCCTTCGCCGTGCTGGCCGCGGGCCTGCTGCTGGCCTGCCTGCTGGGCGCCTGCGAGGCGTGCTGGCACCGGCGCTCCGGGAACCTGTGCCCGCCAAACGTGAGTCGTATGTGAACACGTGTGTACACACAACAACAACAACCGCCATTGGCCAATAAGTGGCGGTGGACGTCACCACGATGCTTGTGCCAGGCCATGTGCACCTTGAGGCTGCCACGTGAAGTGTCGAACGCCCGCTGGCAGGAGGTCACGGGGCAGACCCAGCAGGTGCCACGGGTCGACTGACTGAGATGACTGATGTGTACACACACGCACGTGTACACATAAGCCTTGACAGACTGTTGGGGCGAGTGCTGTTGGCGAGCGCCTATGAAGGCCGGCACGGTACACGAGGGGGGTGGGTGGCCAGCACCACGCCCGACCACCTTTGTCTCCCCAGCGGCGATGTTTACGCATCGCACCAGGTACTCACTCAACCTCAGGGTGGCCCAGGAATGGTTCAGATAATCGTCACTGGCGTTGGCCGTGAGCGGGAATCGAATTCGGGTCGCCGGTTACCTAACGCGGTACACTAACCACTGTGCCCCCCCCTCCCACCACCTATGCTGACACACATGTTACAAACACACTCTGATATCATATAGCACAGTGGTCTTCACTCATTTTCAGAGGGGGGGGGGGGGGGGTCACTTTAGCCAATAAGACATCATCAGTGTGAGTGCCGCCGCAACGTTTGAAGCCACCGGGGGTTTGACAGCAGCACGTTGACGATGATGGGGCGGCGTTCTCGGCATTCGTGTATTGTCGCGGGCTGCACTAAAGGGCCCGCCCCTAGCAACGAGAAGCACCGCCGTGCAAAACGCGCGCTTCACTGCCGGTGCGTTCCTCCGCCAGGACGACAAAGAGCTGGAGATGGAGCAGGCGCACGAGCAGATGAAGGGCCTCGGTGCGGCGAGCCGGCACGGCGAGGGGGGGCGACCGGGGGACGGCGGCAGCGACGGCGGGAGCGGCGACGGCCGCGGCGACGAGATGCACAAGCGGATCTTCCTCACGCCCGTGGAGCTGCCGGCTCTGGACGCCGCCCGGAGCGAGGGCTTGCGCGAGGCCTTCGAGCTGCCCACGCCGCTGCCCCTCGGCGCGGAGCCGCCGGGGACCGACGCTGCCGCTCCCGAGGCAGCAAAAGTGCAGCAGCAGCAGCAGCGGCGGCGGCAGCAGCAGCAGCAGCAAGAGCTTCACGAGAGAGAACATCAGCAGATGCATCATCAGCTTCAGAATCCTCATCAACAACACCAACTGCAGCTCCAGCAGCAGCAGCATCAACAGCAGCTGCTGCAGCAGCAGCAGTTGCAGCAACAGCAGTTGCAGCAACAGCAGCAACATCAACAGCCACAGCAGCAGCATCAACAGCCACAGCAGCAGCATCAACAGCAGCTGCTGCAGCATCAGCAGCAATTGCAGCAGCAGCATCAACAACAGCAACAGCACCATCAACAGCAGCAGCAGCATCAACAACAGCAACAGCACCATCAACAGCAGCAGCATCAACAACAGCAACAGCACCATCAACATCAACAGCAGCAGCAGCATCAACAGCAGCAACAGCAGCAGCAAGACGATCGGCAGGCTTGCCATCTCTCCGGGTCTCAGGTGGGCCCTCTGCCAGAGCTGTTGCAAGGTCGGCTGTTTCTACAGCCGGCATCGGACAGCACGGGCATGAGACCAGTCGGGCAGTCGTCACCTCAGAAGCAGCAGCAGCAGCTACTACAGCATAAGCAGCAGCAGCAGCTACCACAGCGACATTCTCCGCAGCAGCAGTTGCCACAGCAGCAGCAGTTGCCACAGCAACAGTTGCCACAGCAGCAGCAGCAGCTACCACAGCGACATTCTCCACAGCAGCAGTTGCGACAGCAGCAGCAGCAGTTGCCACAGCAGCAGTTGCCACAGCAGCAGTTGCCACAGCAACAGTTGCCACAGCAACAGTTGCCACAGCAGCAGCAGCAGTTGCCACAGCAGCAGTTGCCACAGCAGCAGCAGCAGCTGCTACAGCAGCAGTTGTCACAGCAACAGTTGCCACAGCAGCAACAGTTGTCACAGCAACAGTTGCCACAGCAGCAGTTGTCACAGCAGCAGTTGTCACAGCAACAGTTGCCACAGCAGCAACAGTTGCCACAGCAACAGCAGTTGCCACAGCAGCAGCAGTTGCCACAGCAGCAGCAGTTGCCACAGCAGCAGCAGCTGCCACAGCAGCAGCAGCTGCCACAGCAACAGCAGTTGCCACAGCAACAGTTGCCACAGCAGCAGCAGTTTCAAGGCGATTACAAAACGGTTCCCAGCAAGTCGGCGCCGTTTCAGTCGCTGTCGGTGACGACGCAGACGGCGCTCTCTGAGCTGGTGCCAGAGCCCACGGTGAGCACCTCGATCTGAGCGTGCGGTGGCGGCGTTGGCGCGGAACCCGCGAAGCGCATCGGCTCGCAGGAACGGAGGGACGGGAAGAAAAGAAACGCACGAAAAACGCTCGCACACTTTCACCGCTTGACCAAATTTCATTTTTTCGTTTTGTTTGCGGGGTACGGGAGTTGGTACCGCGTGCCCGCCCGTCGCACCGTCTCGCCCCGTCGCACCGTGTTGCCCGTCACACCGTCTCACCGGCCACACCGCTATCTCGCTTATCGTTACACCGTCTCACCCGCCGTTTCACCGTCTCTGCAGTCCTCGGAGTCGAAAACGGATGTTCTCCGCTTTGTCGTTGCCACTCGAGGTGGGGGAAAAAACCCCGTGCCACATTTCCACATTCCCAATCTGAAAAGCAAAAGCCGGGCACCCTCTTGGGCTGTTTGAATAACAGCCCTGCGTCTCTCGCTCCCTCCTCCCACCACTCGGTGGCCACGCAGCCTCCGTGGCCTCTGACCCCTCCTGCCCTGTTGCCCAATTATCCCCTAAATGGGCCCGGTAGGCATGCAACGTTGGGCCAATGTTGGTTGACGTCGAGCTAACGTTGGTTCCGGGTCAACCAACCTTGGCCCAGCTGTTGCATGTGTATAATGGCGATATTTAAATATATATTTTTTACAATGTTTGATGTGAATTTTGTTCACGTTGCATTGGCACAAGCGTGCATACGAAATATCTTTAGAGCCCTGTGGTTGATTTGCTTATAGCCTGGCCGCTTTCCCAAATCTCATCAAGGTTTATGCAGTGAAGACTTCTCTACAAGGCCACCCATCCTCCTCCTGAGCGGATAAAAGGAAAACACGCACACACATGGCTCTCTCCATCTCATTCTCTTCTTCTCTGCACTTGCCCTTACAGAGGCCGCTGGTTGTCACCGGTTCTGTTGGCTTCTATCGTAGTCCTTCCTAGATTTGAAGCTTTCGTGACTGCAAATATTCATATTCTTAGGTTTTTTTCGGTAAAGTCACGTAGGTAAAAAATTAAAATGAATAAAGTAGTCGTTCAGTCCGTTTTTGTTTTCAACACGGAGCGGTTTTTGCCATTGGGACAGGCCGCAGGATGCCTCATCATCATCATCAGAAATCAATTATTTGTCATACCGCGCCTCCCATGCAGTGCATCGGTACATGCAGTGAATGAACAGGTGGTGTTTTTTGCCCAAAGTGGCGTGGCACGGATCACCGTAGTGGTCTTGTCCCCCCGCCCCCCCCCCCCCCCCCGTACTGGGCCTTGCCTTAAGCTTTCTTGGCAGACTCGTAGCAAGAGGCGAGGGCGGCTTGGCTAATCATCAGCCGCAGGTGCTTGCCCAATGGGCATTGTTTTGACCACACTTCACCACACTTATTGAATATATATATATATTTTTAAAGGTACGTTGCGATTTGTACCAATGATATAATCTACGATGCAAAATGTTCAACCGACTTTTTTAAAGGACAACGAATCATCGCGAGACGATGTAAGGCTCGCGATTATTGTAGACCGATCGAGGCGGTGCGTGGTTACATGTTTTATTTGTGCACGAACAGAGAAGGACATTTATTCTGGACAGCGAGCAAAATGCATCCTGGGATGCAATTACCAGGAAATCTTGCAAAGATGAATGGAAACGCACGCACATGCAGTGTCGGTGAAAGGGAAAATAAAATATTCGAGTGAAGGCTATAAAAGTTGGGTAATTAGATTTTCTTTTAATCGGACCATATCCAAGCAATTCAAAAACAAAATGGTCAATTTGTTCGTAAACAAGTAACACCTTTTCAAAATAAAGACAGGCTCAATTAACATAAGCATCAGGGGGGGAGGCGTGGAACCCCAAAACCAATTTCCTAACTAGTCAAATAAATGCTCCGATTTTTTTTCTTTAGGAAAACTCCGTAAAGTTTTAATGACTGGCATCTCATCGCTTTAAATAAATTAATTTTAAGGGTTAATTTGCACAAATTCAGTCACGTTCAACCGTTGATTTGGGGGTTGGGGGGGTTGAAATGGCTCCACCCCAGCGTTACTGTCAAGCAAAACCTGGGTTCCGATTGCAAACAACTCGCTCGAAATCGCGACCGGATTAAACATTTATTTCATTTGCATCCTGAGTCAAAGCCCTTTTAGGTAATCCACTGCTTAGATAAAAGTCTCCCAAAGCCATGTCGGTCATGGGGATTGTTTGACCGTACTTCCTCACAACCATTCGCTGCCGATTGGAGACCCACAGAGGACCTGTTCAGATAGATATTACTTGCCCCCTATAGCTAACCATGGCCTGGTATCAAACTCAGCTGGCTGTGTCCTTTGTGCTGTGGCCAAACGCTGTTTCACCGCTTCACCGCACGACTATAACGCTTTTAATTTCATGATTTACTTTCCAAAAGCCTCTCTGAGCCTTGAGATGCTTTCGAAGGAGGGTCCTGCTTAGGAATTGTTGGCCAATTCCGTTTGGAATAGGATTGTCTTGCTTCGTGTGGAAAGATACCCGACAAACCCAAAGAAATCCCTACCACGCGGACGATGTGATTGGCTCTCGGTCCGCTACGCAGACAGGTTCACGTACCGACCTTTGCTGTACTGCCGTCTGCTGCCCACCCGCAAGCCCTGCAGCCTTGTGATTATCACATCACTACGTGGTCCACCAACCCCCACCTCGAAAGCACTGTATTACATCCAAGGCCACGAGCACTTTTGATTTTTAGTCACATCTAGCTTTTCGGAGACATTTTTTTTTGGGGGTGGGGGCATTTTCCCTACAATTTGTCATGCGTTATTGACGTCACATCATTCGCAAGAGCCCTGTTCAGAAATGTTGCATCGCAGTGTTCACTTTGCTTGTCTGAGAATTGCTGAACAACAGAGATGTTCAGAAAACTCCCTTCAAGTGACCTTGTCATCTTCACCAATGTTTTGATTCCCAGAAGTTGGAATTTAATGAAATTCAGTAAAAAATATAATTGTTTCATAATTACTATTTTTCGTGCGGGGAGTCCACGCCGCGTGGTGACTGGGTTGAGACCAGAAACTCACTCACACTTGAGAACCCGATTTGATGTTGTAACTTGCTGACCCGCCCAGACTGAACATCTGTTGAAAAGAGCTTTATAGCTCATCGGATTCATTCTCCAGTCTAAATGAAGATTCTGATTTCCGATTAATCATGCTCGGCAAAAACCCGGAGTCGAACCGAGGACCTCAGCGGTGCCGGCTCGGTATTGTCATCCCTAAGCCACCCGATTATCTGGGAGCAAACAGACAATCAATTTCTGGGTTGGTACAAACCTTGAGCCCATCAGGTGCATGCGGCGGTGGGGTGGGGGGGGGGTGTGGAGAGAGGGCAAGTTGGAACAGCGCAGACGTATTGTTAGCCCTGTTACATTGTCCTGGGGTTTTGGTCTCGGAGTGCACGATGTTCCGGGGATTCATAATTCCGAGGAGGTCTAAGCTGCACGTCCACCTCCCTTGACAAACGTAGCACCCGTCGCCACCACCCAGGAATTGTCCCCGATTCTCACACGCAGCCACCGAAGCTCCCTCTGTCCGCCCTCCCGTACCCACAAGCTCTCCGCGTAACTTTTTTTTTGAACTGGACCCGAGGGGAGACGGAAGAGAGATGACCCAAAAAAACAAATTTGTAAGAGTGAAGAAGCGAGAGGTGGCGTGTGAAGTCCGTGCCGTTACTCGCGAACTGCACAGATGGGTTACGACTGAACGAACAACAAGACAAGATGTCAAAACGAGAAGGACTCACTTTGTGAGGTCAGCTAACGGCATGTGAACGTGGGACTCTTAAGCCACTACCGCTGCCACCACCACCGCCGCCACCACGGCCACCTTGAAGTGCTGCTCATTCGTGTGTCACGGTGCAATTGTGCGCATTGCGAGCGGTGGCGATGTTGGAGATAATGACGATGGGTGGTGGTGATTAACGACGATTGTTTTCCGTTGGCGTTTTTTTTTCAAAACAGGGCATTCGTTGAATCCGCCCTGTGTCACGAAACGCGCACCTTTTGCATTGCGACGCCTACTGCGTGAGGCCGTGTCAAACGCGAGGGTACATTTTTTTACGGAAATTGTCACCCGTTAGCAAATCGTTGCTAGCCACGGTTTCCACACGGCCGTTATTTTGTCGCGGGGGAAAAAAAAAGAATCAACCAGTTTCCCAAAACGTGGCCGAAAATCTTGACTCGGGGTGGGCAACGTCCGATCGGATCGCGGACAGAAGTCCCAACGTGACTGTTCGAGATGATGCGATGGAGACGATATTGGCCGACCGTCAAACCACACCGGGCGGTGTTCTCCACGTCCAGACGGAATCCCCACCCATCTCTTTTGTCCACCGCTGTATCAAGTTGGTATTTTTTTTATGTGGGGGGAGGGGTTTGCCGCAGTTGCTCACGGCAAATGTCTCGCGTCGGTGATGATGTTTGGCAACGATTGTCCAAAAATTGCCCTCGTGTATCATCATGTCCTTTGCTATATATATATAGTATATATAAACTAAAAATTACGGAGGAAAAGGCGCATTGTATAGTATTTTATTCTATTAACGCCCACGTAAATGCCGGGCAAAATTTTTAACAGATAACATTTTCACACCTCTTATGAGCTTTGTAAAAAAAAAAAGATGATGTATATTAGACAGAGAGAGAGTGGAGAATAAGAATAAAAAACAGATCAGTGTGTGTGCCCCCCCCCCCCCCCCATAACCACCCACACCCCCGCCACCCACTCCTTGTTTGGCAGCCGATTTTCGACCCTTTTCTGCATCTCTCTTCGTGACCTACCCCCCACTCCCTCCTGCTAGAGAAGTGTCGCCGTGCATGCACAGAAGCGCAGGGAGACACGTGCTACCCTCCTAGCGGCGGGCAAACCACCACAGTGGGGGGATGGGGGGAGCATTGGGGTCCACTGCTTTGCTTGCTACGGAGTGCCATGCCGCACGCGTGCGTTCATGACCGCTACCCACCCACCCGGGCACACTCTGATCGTGGACGTCCACTCTGTCACTCATTCGCCGAAACCGCTCACACACAGACACACGCGCGCGCGCGCGCACACACAAACAACGGTTGTTAAGAACTCACACGGATAACGATGAAGCACTATCCTGCCAAAATAGGCTCGTATCATTATTCTTATTATTGTTCTATATTAAAAGATATGTATTAGTTGATAATTGGTTTTTTTACCCTTCTATCTGGCAATAAAACTGACACCTTTTTTACAAGGAGTCAAAAGGCGTCATCTGGTCCAACCCATGTGAGACTAGGCTCTAAGGAAAGCTGTCTCGGGTGTGGACCAATCAACTTCAAGGACAGTGCATACATTATCAGAGTTATGTTTTTTGTTTGCATTATGACTGCAGGTATTGTGGTCTATGCAAACATGACTCCTTGTAAAAAAGGTGTCAGTTTTGTTGCCAGATAGAAGGGTAAAAAAACTATTATATTTTTTACTGGCAAATGAGGTTCCAATGGTGATATATATTAGTTGTTTTGATTTATTTTGTCCTCTCCCCCCCAACCCCCTCTGTGGAATTGTAATAATTTATCGTTGGGTTGTTTTCGTTTGCTTGTTTGTTTGTCTGTCTGGTGGTAATCTGAAATATTCGACAGGTTCGCTGTTGATGCTCAGGACTCTGCTTCTGTTGCCTGGTTGGTTGGCTGATGTTGCCACGTGATCGGCGCGAGACGTGCAATAGACATGCAGGCGACTCTCAATGTGTCTGGCATATGCAGTGGGAGTGGGGGGGGGGGGGCTAGATGGGGACGAGTGGCCCGGATGAAACGAAGAGCAAAACTCACGGATAGCGCAAAACGGGCGTGAGTCGTGCTGCTGCTAAAACGCAATCAATGTTTACCGACGCAATGTATGTGTGTGGGGGGGGGGGGGTGGTGAAGACGTAAACACACACACACACATCGATGTTTATTGTTTAGCAAAGTATTCGGGTTTTCTTCCCAACGTGTTTGCGTTCACATCATCGTCGAGTCACTTAGCCCTCGATACTGAAGCGAGCGAGCGTGAAGAAACGTCGGGTTTTGTCACGAGCGTGGTTAATACACAAGCCCGATAATCTGCCCTCGGATAATCGACAGGCTAGTGTATGGACCTTAAAATGGCATAATGATGATTCTGATGATGATTACGAATGATACAAATAGCAAGTGCGGTGAAATTATCAACGTTTAAGCTCGACTCAATCTCTCTCGCTCGCTTCGCTTCAACCAATCGACTGGCTTGGTTAGCGCTCACTAATCGGTTAGCGCTCACTAATCGGTTAGCGCTCACTAATCGGTTAGCGCTCACTAATCGGTTAGCGCTCACTAATCGGTCAGGGCTCACTAATCGGTTAGCGCTCACTAATCGGTTAGCGCTCACTAATCGGTTAGCGCTCACTAATCGGTTAGGGCTCACTAATCGGTTAGCGCTCACTAATCGGTTAGCGCTCACTAATCGGTTAGCGCACACTAATCGGTTAGAGCACATTAATCGGTTGGCGCACACTAATCGGTTAGCGCTCACTAATCGGTTAGCGCACACTAATCGGTTAGCACTCGTTACTCACGTTAAACGGTGATGGGAGAAGATCGGTAAAACCTGCAAGGCAAATACGAACGGACACCATGCTCGCTCCAGGTCGGTTGGAATTTTGCTCAATCGTCAGTGATGTCGATTTAACGCGTGCAGCAGGTGACCTGTTCTCAGTGCACCCCCGATAATTCCACAGGCCTCCAACTTCAAGCCGAAACTCGTAATGTATGAATTCTAGATTTGAAGCTTTCGTGACTGCAAGGATTCATATTCTTAGGTTTTTTTCGGTAACGTCGCGTAGGTAAAAAATTTCAATTAATAAAAATAAAATAAAAATCACGACGTTTCGGAGGCAACACAAGCTTCCGTCTTCAGGTGGAACCGTCACAGCACGATAGCTGTATCAAGTGAGAGAAATTCCAAGAAAACAGTCCTTGTATATATTGATACAGCTATCGTGCTGTGACGGTTCCACCTGAAGACGGAAGCTTGTGTTGCCTCCGAAACGTCGTGAAAATTTTATTTTATTTGTATTTTACTTTTATTGATTTAATTTTTTTACCTATGTGACTTTATTGGAACAACCTAAAAATCTTAATGTATGCTCCGACAGCAATCCAGTCCGGGAGCAAACACCGCGGCAAACCTGGTGACGTTCGTGCGTTCTGTTGACAACTCGAGAAGTCTCTGATTGCAGCGGTGGCGACGGTGAAAAATTCCACTTCGGGGCAGAATTAATGAGGGCGGCCAGTGGACATTGAAAGGGGCGCGAAACTTCAGGCTTCGGCATCGACAGAAGTCGTTTTTTTGTGTGTGAATTTTTCTGCCGCTGATAAACTTTGAACGTAAGAGATGCTGTATTTTATACGTGATTTTTTTTCTGGAAGACGAAAAAAAAACCACCTACATATGCGGGTGTGGGATTTTTTCGCAGTGGCAATGCAAACCCATTGATGTGCAATGTCTGTCGGAGTAACCTGGGGCTTGGAGTGGCTGGACTCTACGGGATACTGCAAATTTTTGCCTTGCATTTTTTTTATTTTGTTGGTTTTGTTTCGGAAGATATGTTTCGTTATCACTCAATAAAAAAAATTACATCCCCACCCCTGCCCCCCTCCCTTGTTTACACAGATTCCACATGTGCACGTTTTGTCCGCGTAAACCCAAAGTCACGACGCGTGTAGTCAGGCGAGGCTGCTACAGAATTCTGACAATAACATTGCGCTGCGGATTTACGCTGTTATTTATGTTTTCGTTGTTGTGTTTGCGTGCAATTAATCATCCCAGGCAGACCACCCCCCCCCCCTACTGTTGGTCTAATTCGCTCTAACAGAGAATATCTTTGAAAAAAAAATCTAACGATAAAGGTGCAGCCCTGCAATTGACTCGCTGGCACCAGTGCTGGCGACGGAAGGGGAATCTGCTAGAGGAGGGCGCATCGCGAAGATTTCTGCCGTCGGTCAAATTTCTTCAGTCGCAACCGAAGCTGCGCTGAATCTTGGCTAAGTTGGTGGCAGAGGTCGCAACCGGGTACCCGATACCCGTACCCTACCCGATACCCGGCTACCCGTACCCGTCCGGGTACGGGCACCCGTTTGCGACCCTGGTGCGGCCGTGTACGGGTACGGGTAGGCCGTGAGTCACTGGTGAGTAACCGTTTGTCACTCATTTCCCAACGTCTTGTCTCTTCTCACAATTCAAGTTCCTAGAATCAACCCACCCGCGCCTGCAACATGGCTTCATCCCAGAGGTCGCAATCAGGTACCCGATACCCTACCTGTACCCGGCCGGGTACAGGTAGGGTACGGCCGGGTACGGGCACCCGTTTGCGACCCTGGCGCGGCCGGGTACGGGTAAGGAATCAAAACCCGTTTGCGACCTCTGATATCAGCCGAGGTGCGGCCGTGCGAGACAAAACAAAATATCGCTCCCCCCCCGCCTGACCGATTGCATCACCCCCTGAGCCGATGATGTAGCCACGACGCCACCGATGTTGTTTACTACGCCATTGAACGTTTTTCACGGTGGCCCGGGCGTCTTGGAAAAGTTTTGAGTGCCCCCCAAAAAAGATTCTCACAACCACCACACGCGATCTGCCGCCGATCAGGCCAGCTGTGGTTATCGCCAGCAAGGTGGTGGAGGCGTGCGGGGCGGATGTTCTACGACTCTTGCCCCCATTGATTCAACTACTGTGTTTCGAGAAAGGGGCATTGAACCGGCGACCGCTGAGTTACATAAAGTCCATTGTGCTACTGAAGGGGGTCAATATCGTCGTCAACTACAACCCCTTTACAAAACCGCACTTCACCTGACTCTCACACAGTGTCACGTGAGCACAGTGATGCCTTTTATTGTGCATTTATTGTTTACCCTAAGTCAAAGGCCTTCGGTCGTGCATATGTTATTATTACAGGTGCCTGGTTGGTTCCTTCGGGATAGGATCAATCTTTTTCCTCGACTCTGTACAAGAATTGTTACTCAAGCGCCGTGAGCGACCGAGTCACAGATTGACGCAGGATGCCTATTACCACAATGAGCCAATGGTATCCAATGTGAGGTTATAATTCCATATTGTGATGTATGTACGTTGAACTTCCTTCACACCATACGTAGCCAAACGTTCTAAGCCGAGGTGCGGGGGAAGGACAACAAACCAAACAAACATAATCAGTTCTAAAGAATTGAGTTTCCAATCTGAACGATGTGAAATTGCGTGAACTCCAGTGGCTTCCTAACATCGGAAGGAAGAGCGTTCCAGACGGCCGCGCAAGCGCATCTGAACGCGCGCGATGCGGTGACCGTCTTTGCTCGATGACAATAGCCACAAGCCGCTGCTGCGAGAATGACCGGAGTTAGCGTGGTGGTTCACGCTCCTTGACGAGATCAGCAAGGAATTGTGGTTCATTTGTGGCAAGCACTTTGTGTGCAATGAATGCAACCTCGTGATGTATTCGACTCTCCAGTTGCAGCGCATTTCACCTTTGCAATCACTTTGATTCCATCACCCGCAGCTTCCTCTTCACCCTTGTTCCACAACGAGGCTGTTTGCGTCTCAATAAAAACACAACGTGTCCTCATTCTGCAACGGTGTAGTTTCGGTGCGGTTTCGGTCGGATTATCCGAGTTGATGGGGGGTGACCCGCGGCTGTTCCGCGACCTGCTAAAGGGCCGAAGAGTCGTGGGGCTCAAGACAATCTCGCCCTTGCACCACCGGCACACTGGGAATATCAGCAAGCCGCTCGTGATGCTGTTGGAGGATGTAAATACACCCATTTGTTTACCCAGTAATGACTCGCCGAGTCTTCAATACTCGTCTTTTTCTTCTTATTCTTCTTCTTCTTCTGCAGGGTGGTCCTGGAAATGTGAGGTTTGGTCAATCGCTGTCTTCTGTATCACGTCGTATGACACGGGGGGTTATCCAAACAAAACTCATCGCACGCGCACGCGCGCGTACAAGAAAATAACACCGACAATCAGCACGAGTGCTGCCCAGTAACCACATGCCAACTTTGCGCCAACGTTGGTTCAAACCGTTGGCTCAACGTTGGACCAACGTTGGCATGTGGTTGAAACTGTTGGGCCCAATGTGTACTTGGCGTACGTCAGCGGCCTACTGGCTCAGTGTAGTCGTGGCGCACGCCTGTAACCCGGCGCTGCGGAGGCGATGGTGGATTGGATCGCAAATGCGTTGGGACAAGATTGATCCGGCGGTCACTGAGTGTCTCTGCGATGTGCGTGTGTATGTTGGACTTCTTTTGCACCGTACGTAGCCAAGCGTGTGCTAGTCGGAGGCGTGGTTGTGCAGATAGCAATGACTCCGTCCACGGCGGTGCATCTCAGAGGCGGCTTTGGCACATTGGAGAGGGGGAGGAGGGGGGGAGGGGGGGAGGGGGGGAGGGAGGGGAGGGGGGGGCAAGGGTTGGTGGAGCACGCAGAGACTTGTGAAGCTCCCTCCACGTTGTTGTCATGTTTGTCACGTATAAACGACAAGTCACGCGGGCGAGAGGGCGATGAGTTGGAGAAATACTCTATGGTTTTTTCGGTAAAGTCACGTAGGTAAAAAATAAAATAAATAAAAATGAAAACAAATCAATGAATTCACGACGTTTCGGAAGCAACACAAGCAACCGTCGTTGCTTCCGACACGTCGTGATTTAATTTATTGTTTTCATTTTAATTTATTTTATTTTTTACCTACGTGACTTTACCGAAACAACCAAAGAGTATGGATCCTTGCAGTCACGACAACTTCAAATCTAGAGTTGGAGAAAGGCCTTCATCCAGCGGTGGATTGATTGTGGCCGACGATGACATACACGGGGAGACACGGAAGCGATGTTTAGATGCAAGGTTCATTCGCACGGAGTTACATTGTGACGTCACAAAGATAGAACAATGTCTACATTAAAAAAACGACATTCAGATTTTAAAAATACTTTCGCTTATATTTAACAATATTACGTATTGCGTGTTGTTGCTGTCGTGTATATTACGGCGGTGTAGTGGGTGTCACTTTTTGCGATGCTTTCTTGATCTCCCGAAGTGGCGGGCAAGATTAATTAAATCCGCCTGCCTCTGTCCACGCGGCCGCATTTGACGGGGCCCACTTCCACCACCACCACAGTGGAAGAGTAGGCCAAAGGAACCGCCAGCTGGTGGGGGGGGGGAGGGGTGGGACCTGCCCTTAAAGCTCCCATCTTGGTGGAGGCTTTGGCAGTGGCGCTTCAAGCCGGACAATTGCATTGGCCTTTGATTTAAATTGCCACGGTTTCGTGGGCCGCGATTTCGGCTCCAGATAATCGATTCTCGTTGACGCTACGGATGAATGTCGCGGCCTCGATTTGGCTGATCTTTTTACAAATCAGACAAATAGAAATAGAACAAAAAACGTCGCGCTTTTGCCCCTTTCTTCGGCCCAAGAACCGATGTTGAACGAATAATCCACGTTGCGCACATATCTGAAAAAAGGGCAATGGAGGAATTTTTAAACAGATCTGTTTGGCATAAATATAATCTGCAACAAAAAAAACCCCCATCACACCTCGACTCACACCTCTCAATCTGCCAGTCTCATTGCATTTCATACGTTCGCCTGGTATGATGTGATGTATTGACGCCAATTCAAATTAAGGCAGCTCTTTGTGCGTGTGCGTGCGTGTGCGTGCGTGTGTGTGTGTCATGTGACAGATGGGGAGCGGTGGTGTAGCGGTTAGCGCGCTGCGCTACAAACCTGGTGACCCGGGTTCGATTCCTGCTCACGGCCAACATCAGTGACGATTATCTAAAATGGTCCTGGGCCTCCCCTAGGTCGACTCAGGCTCAAATGAGTACCTGGTGCGCAGTGTAAACATCGCCACTGGGGAGACAAAGGCGGCCGAGCGTGGTGTTGGCCACCCACCCCCTCGTGTGCCGTGCCGGCCTTCATAGGTGCTCGCTAACAGCACTTGCCCCTACAGTCTGTTAAGGCTATACGGGGGATCTTTGTTTTATCTTTGTTGTCATGTGACAGATTCAAGCTAATCTGAATAATGACTCTGCATAAGGGAGGACGCGGACACATATACCCCCGTATGTCCTTAAACATAACTGTTGGGGTAAGAGGCCATCCATTGAGTAGGTACGCAAAAATATGTCAAAATTTGACCCCTGCCCCCGTCCCTGTACGCACGCGTACTTTTTACACCCCCCTCCCTCACCTGCGTACGTACGCCTGACGCACCCCCCCCCCCCCGAATCCTCTAGAACGGCCGATATTTAATCCACGCAGAAACGATCAAGGATGAATAATATTAACGTGTTTAAGCAAACAGATAGTCCACACCGCCGGATTATCTGACTCATTTGAAGGCCAATGTAGACAAATTGTTATCGAGGCTTCACCACCCCCCTCCCCGTTTCCTATGCGTACATTATCAGTAGACCCCCCATACACAAGCGTACGCAATTGGGTTAACCCCCCCTCCCCCCTTATATGCGTACCTACTAAATGGATGGCCCCTAAAGTGCTGTTAGCGAGCACCTTTGAAGCCCGGCACGGCATACGAGGGGGCGAGTGGCCAACACCACGCCCGACCACCTTTGTCTCCCCAGTGAGCAAGGGGACGTCCAGGACCGGTTTAGATATTCGCAACTGTTACTGGTCGTGTGTGGGATTCCAACTTGGGTGGTGAGCTAACCATTGCTAACCATTGCACTACCGCTACCCTAACATTGGACACACACACAAAATATCTCCCTTATTTTTTTTCGAAATCACGCACGAAACTTTGAACAATCATCAGGCTCGTGCAGCGCATACCACTGCTTGAACGGAGAGAGATCGGTAATGGCATTGAAAAGACATGCCCGAGTCTGTGGGTCAAGAACACGTGATCGTGAAGACATCCTGGCTGGCAGATATTGTGACCTTGGTTGACCACAGCTCTACCACCAGGGATTAATTGAAGCCGGAACTGTCCAGGGCTGAGCTCCAGAAAATGTCCCCCCACCTCGTCCTAGCCCCGACAGCGGAAAATACGACGTGAGAAATTAAACCCCGACTATCACCACCGGACATGATGCAGGCCCACTGGGAACCCCAAAGCATAAATAATAACAGGAGCCCTCCCTTTCAATGCATATAATCTCCAGTGCAATGGATCGCACGGTATATAGATGTGAGTGAGATGACATAACACGTATAGAGATGAGAGAGAGATGAACTGGGGTTTTTCATGAAAACTTAATTAGCTTCTTACTTTTATTGCGTTTTGAATTGAGATGATATTTAATGCACCAATAATTCCATACACGAAACCGGAGCCCCCTTGAGCTTCCTGGGGCCCCGCACTTTTGCTTTCCTTGATCCTTAGCACCTCCCCTGAAAACCAAAGTCAGAAGATGCACGTTCTACGCATGACGACATGTGGCACTCGCAACAGCTGCTCCGTTGTGCCCCCATCAACCAAGCCACCAGCCACCAACAACCCCCACCACCACCAACCACATCAATCTCTCCAGTCCTTCCTGCCAAGCGGGGCCAACACTTAAGCGATCAGTTGCGCGCGCAACTCGATTGCGCGCGATCGCTCGCGGGAGGGACCCCGTTTTTTTTTTTTTTAAAGCGTGGCCAGTTCTTTCATCGTGAAATCCAGCGGCTCCTTGACGGCGGACGCGTTGGGGGTGCGGGTCACTCCATGGGCAGCGGCCGCGCCGTGGGCGGTGGTGGTTCCATGGGCGGCAGCGGTGGCCCCGTGAGCGGTGGCGCCGTGGTTGGCGGCGGTGCGCACACGAACCCGGCGGAAGCTGCCGGCCACGGACGCTCGCAGGGAGCCGAGGCGCTTCCACACGGTGAGCTGCGGCTCGCTGGCGTCGCCGGGCTCGCAGGGCATGGGCGCGCAGCCCGGCCCCGCGGTGCCCGAGCAGCCGCGGGGGGCACGGCATCGCCCCGACGAGCCCACGTGGCTCGACTCGGCCAGCACGGACGGCTGGCACAGCGCCTGGCGAAGGCAACGGGCGTAGGGTGAGTTGCCAACGCGCAACTCGCTCCGGCGGGTGTGCGACTGTGGTCGCCCAGAAGAGACCGGAGGCAACGTACGACGAAGCAATGCCCGATCGGCGAACACGCAGGCGACATCGCAGCGATGGTACAACTACTTCCGCTGCCTCCTGACGGCGGTTTGTCTGGGCTTGACCACGTGAGTGTCGAATTGTAGTTTGTTGCTCGGCATCTAACATCAGCAGCCGTACGGAAGAAAGCAAATAAGGTGCTTGTGAGCAGCACTTGCCCCAACAGTCTGCTGAGGCTGTTCGGAGGATCTTAGCCTTTGTGTTATATCACACGTGACGGTAAGCATCAGGCACGTATAGCGTGTAACTACTGACTTCAATCGAATTATTTCCCACCTAGGCTTTTGCCACCAATAGGATTCACAATTGATGTTTGGGTCGTCAGGTCGCATCAATAAAACGTGTGTTGTAAACCCTCCTCCATCAGACACAGCCAGTTGATGGGGTTAATTGGCTGATACTATATTGTTAAATGTCTGTGTGGAACACCACCCTACATAACGGTGGCACTGCTGCTGCTACTGCTGCAGCAGTAACACATCGGCCACGTTTGTCCATCGCGTGACAACTTTATTCATCGGCCGTGTCGGGCGGAGGAGGAGGGTGCACGACACTAAACGTTCTACCCGCGCGGCGATCCTGACCCAAAAATCAACGGTGAGCGGACGACCTTGCCAACCGTGGGGAGGTGGATCGTGGGTCTGCCTCGTGAGGTCGGGAGCTTTGAGCACCCTGGCGAATCGTAGGCGGGGAGGCCACTTGGTGGCGGAGGATTCACAAGGGTGAGGGTCGACTGGTTCCGTGAGTCTGCCACCACGGGCTGAGAACGATGTTGATGAAAGCAACTTTTTGTATTTATTTGGGAAGGTTGTCGTGTGGGGTGGCGGTGGGTGATGACCCATCTTTTCCCTGGTTGACCCCCCCCCCGCCCCGGTAAGGAGGAGAGGCGGTGGACATTATCTGGGGGTAATGGAAAATAGGGGGGCGGCTCGGGTTTGAAGAAAACAAAAACAAGAGCCTCGACGTCAAACACAAAACATACGCGGACTGCGCCGGAGAAACCCGCATCCATCCTCCACACGCGTGGAATGGGGTGGGGGGAGAGACGCAGCACGTGCCGTCTAGGTCCCATTTATTAATTATATATATGTCTATATACAGTATGTGTATATGACAGCCCCTGCTTTTAGAGGGGCTCATAAGCCCAAATGCCAAACACTCGCCAGATGGATCGTGAACGCCGCCCCGCTGACGGAGAAACACGAAAGCGAATTGCTGCCCGGAGCAATGTCCCTCACTGTGCCCAGAACTTCAATCCGTTAGAAATGTTTCTGTTAGTACGCCGGTCGAAAGCACCGTGGCGATGCACTGCTGGGTGAAGGCCTCCCCCACGCCGTGTCGGTCATAGGGGCGGTGTTGTACCATTCGTCACCACGCTGGTCCAGTTCGGGTTGGTGAAGAAGGTCCCGTGATGGGTGGGGAGGGGGGTGTGGGGCTGAGCGACCTGGACCAGTTCGGATTCTCACTCGCCGCCGATGTTAGCCGTGGACCAATGTGAAAAATTCAGATCACGGCACCCGAATAGCAGAACGCGCTCACCCCTGGTGCCTCCGCTCCAACCCGCTCTGGGCAATAAGCCATCGGCTAAATGTGGGGCGACGAGACTTGTGCCCCAATGTTAGTTGTACTTTTCTTGGTGGAGTGGAAATTTGTTTGGGAAAAATTAGGGAAAGAATGAAGTCACTGGGCCTGATTCCAGTTTCAATGAAAGGATCCACACACGGGTTTTTTTTTGTTGGCAAGAGAGTGTGAGCAAAAAAAAACATTCCATTATTGCAGAAAAAAAAATATGTTTGACAACGTACAGTCGTAGCGAGCTGTTCCACGATGTAAACTGCCCTGCCCTTGTGTTTATACCATGCTGTACTCATTTAAACTCAGGCCTCCCTTGAACATTAGGACTTCTGGACTGTGCAAGTTCGATGAGTCTTCACGAGTCTAAGTAAGTTGATGGGTCGCTCAGGAAGAAAAGTCGATTGGTCTTTGTGTAAGCCTATAGGTGTCTAAATAACTTCATGGGTTTCTATGTTGGTCTACGGGCCTCTATGTAAGCCTGTTTGTTTCTGTGTAAGTTTATATAAGCCTAGAGGTATCTACGCAAGTATATGAGTATGTAGACGTACGTAATATGTAAGGCTATATAGGCATCTGCGTTTATGTAAGTCTACGGGTCATAGTGAATTCTACGGTTTTCTACTTAAGTCTATTAATATGTCTGTCTATAAGTCTCTAGCAAGCCCGTTTTTTCCTACTTAAGTTCATGTCAGGCCACGGATGTCTGTGAACGTCTGTGGGTCTGTGGATGATTTTCTAACACAGGGGTTGTGCACTGCACGACGCGATGCCGGTAGCGCCACTGAAATAACAAAACAAAATTAAGGAAGAAAAATCATGCCACATGCACGGCTTTCGAAAACATTTCCAGTAGCTGTTACGCCTGGCGAGTGCGCCGTTAGCGATCGTAACGGAAGCGAGTGCGCCCAGCGCACAGGTGCGAGTACGTCCATAGGCCATGACGAGATAACGGAGCTCTGTTGGGGAGGGTGCAGTGTCCTTGTGAGTGGTGTTTTATGACATCATCACCTTGGGCGACAAGGCAAATCCTACAACACTTTGTTTTCATGGCCGCGTTTTGGGAAAACTGCCGGTTGATGTGGCAGGCTTTCTAAGGGGGTAAGTCTCTAAGAGCAACACAACTTTATTGTAAAGTTCCGTTCATATTGGATCGTCCTGTAGGTGTGTATGTTGAACTTCTTTCGCGCCGTGCGTAGCCAACCGTGCTAATTGGAGTTCGTTACAGACAGAAAGACATCATCCGTGACGGACGGACAGAAAAAAACGGACAGAGAGAGAGACAGGTGGACGGAACGAATGCACAAACAATTTTAAGCTGAGTCTGGAAAGCATTAATACCGAAACATTGTGAAATTGATAAATAGTTACCATGAAGATGACAAAGGTGGCGATAAGAAGGAATATGCAGACGATGGCGATGATGATGGGCATTGGGTTCGCCTGGATTGGCTGATCCCCCGCACTCGTGGGCGTCGCCAAACTGACCGTGGAATCCGATTGGACGAGACCTGTCAGGCTTGTGGCGTTCATGATTGCACTGAAATTATGTCACAGATGGCAGTGAAGGTGAATGTGTCAGCAGCATCATCAGCAGCAGCAGCAACATCATTATGAACAGCGACGTGGCAATCATCATCTTCAACGTTATCATCATCAGCATCATCGTTAGTATTGTCAGCGTCATCATCAACAAGATGATCAACATCATTAACACCGTCATACAAATCATCACCATCAACAAAATCATCATCACTCATTTTCCAAAATAAACATTATCAACAACACAATCATCACCAAAATCAATGTCATCATGAGCATCACCTTCAACAATCAAGAACACGTATTAACATGATCATTATCCAACAATATCACCGTCGTCGTCAACATCATTATCATTCCACGCCTTCCTTTTTATAACCATCGCCAAACTGGGTAAGCATTGATTCATCATCAGCGGATTGCCCTCGGAGCACGAAGGTGCAACGTCGCTGCGCAGAAATTATTGTGGGACTTGTAAGAAGGGGGCCAAGAGACTAATTACTTTAGCGGTGGCGGCCTTTGCTGCACTACGCAAACCACTTTAGAAGATCGGAGAGGTCAGCTTTAATTAAAATATACAAGTGTGAACTGTGAAGGCAGCGGTAATGCACGCAGTTGCTTTATGGGTCAGAGAGCAGGCCACTGTCAAAGCAATTGCAAAGATCGGCGCTTGTGGCCTGCGAATTCAGATGCGCTGCGGATGACGCTGGCAATTTCATGGCAGCAATGGGGGTTAAGCAACCTTGAAGTTTTTTCGAAGAAGGATGCAGGAGACGATAAAATGTCATGGAGAGATGGATGGCGCATTTTGCCGTGCAACTGGCCGTCTGAGTTCGAGTCCAGGCCACGGCTAACATCAGTGGCGAGTGTTAACTGATCCCGGCCCTAAGTCCACATCCCCCCTTCGCCAAAAACGCAAGTGACGCCAGCATGGTGAAGTATGGTCAAACGCCACCCATGACCAAACCAATGTTCTGCGGAGTGCGACTCTCATTAATAATAACACACTTTTTCTGGCATAAGGTATTCCAACGGTTTTAAGGTAATTTTGGGTTGCTGATTCCAAATCTGGCATCAGTTTTTGTCTATCACATCAGGTTTTTGAGATATCAAAAATTGCATTTTCAATAAAAACTGCAGAAGAAAAATATTAAATCAATGTGGATATCTACATAAAATGATATTATAAAAAACTATCTAAAAATACAGCACCATATTTTAACACTAAAGCAGTCACTGACTCGCAACAACTTGCAATCATAAGTGACAGAGTTAATTTCGGGTAAAATCAATGAAAATGGGGTATGCCGATAGCATAACATGAGATGTGATAAAGCAAATCTGAGATCAGATTTGGAATCAGCACCCTGAAATTAGTCTAAAACAGCTGCAAAAGTCCAGGCCAGAAAAAAAAGGTTTTTTGTTGACCAGTGTAATCAACTGATGGACGCACACTTTCACGCGTGTGCCGTGAACGTAAGAATAAAATGTAATTTACAAATTCATTACTTGTTAAATGTTACATTTTCGGTTTGGCCACGATACGTCGTGCGATATAAGATTCACGACAGACGCTTCCTCCGTTTTGCTAAGTATCACGATTAATGTTGCCCGTTCGACTTGTTCGTTTGTTCGTCAGCGTGACAAATTTCATTACGAAATAAAAAAAAATTGCAAGAACAAAATCAAGAAAATACACGCCGAGATAAATCTCTGATAACCATCCGAACAAAAGTATGCTTTTGTAAAAACTTATTTGTTAAATAAATGATGGCATGGCAATTATACGGCGCAGTCATTTTCGTAACTTGATGTGCCATTTTCTTATTAGCGTCCCTGAAAGCAAGGCACGTCAGAAACGCGCGCTGTCGATCGCAATGCGGAGAGGAGGAGGAGGGAGGGACGTCCGATGCATTCCCCGTGCTCCGTGCCTCGGAACGATTCCCTCTAATCAGCCGGGGCCCTGCCCGGCACCACCTGGAGCTCACCGCGGTGGTGGAACAGGGGGGGGGGGGGGGGGGGGGAAACTAAGGCAGACTTCTATAGAACGTGGCACCCACCCACCCCCATTCCTGAGTGAGACAATTAAACCCGCGGCTCACGTCTGAGACCCACGGAGCCCAGTGTCACCAAGACGCGCGCCTTGTTGACTGCGTGAAATTTCCCCCACCCACAACTACCACCACCAACCAGAGGTCGCAAACGGGTTTTGATTCCTTACCCGTACCCGTACCCGGCCACACCAGGGTCGCAAACGGGTACCCGTACCCGGCCGTACCCGTACCCTACCCGTACCTGGCCGGGTACGGGTATCGGGTACCTGATTGCGACCTCTGGGATGAAGCCATGTTGCAGGCGCGGGTGGGTTGATTCTAGGAACTTGAATTGTGAGAAGAGACAAGACGTTGGGAAATGAGTGACAAACGGTTACTCACCAGTGACTCACGGTCTACCCGTACCCGGCCGCACCAGGGTCGCAAACGGGTACCCGTACCCGGCCGGGTACGGGTAGCCGGGTATCGGGTAGGGTACGGGTATCGGGTACCCGGTTGCGACCTCTGCCACCAACTTAGCCAAGATTCAGCGCAGCTTCGGTTGGCTACGTGCGGTGCGAAAGAAGTTTAACATGCATAGCCCTCCCATACGTTAGTCCCCCCCACACACACACATCCTGCCCGCGCACATTCCTACTCTCCTCCCCCTCCTCTTGTCTCTCACACCCCCCCCCCCCCGTGTCATGTTCACGTTGAGGAAGGCTTCAGCCAACCCTGGTCAAACTCCTACGACGATCTGGGTGAATGGGGGACGCGCGCGCCAGTTTGCTCGCTCGTTGCAAAGCACCACGTGTCGGAGATGTGAATTGAAGGAAATCCAATTAGAAAAGATATGACCTAAAGCTTTCGTGACTGCAGGAATTCATATTTTCTTTGGGTCTGTCGGTAAAGTCACGTAGATAGGTTCAAGGAAAATAACTAAAAATGACAAAAAAACGACGACGTTTCGATCGTAACGCAAGCGGTCGAAACGTCGTGGTTTTTTGTTATTTTTGTTTCTATGTTCATGGAAAATGACCGCTTGAATAATGATCTATGACACATTTATCTTGTACCGTTCAAGAAATCATTGCTCACAACCCCTAGCAGGAGGAACCAATGTTGGTAAATTGGTTATTCAAGAAGAGATAAAGGTGCAGCCCTGCATTTCCCTGCTGGCGGGAGGGCCTTCACCAGAGTGAGCTCTCGATGGGTACGACGACCTTGGTCTACTCTTCCACGCTGGACAGAATGCCATGAAAGAGTTGGGTGCATCCACACGTGCTGATTGGAAGGTTCAGGGGTAAGGACAACAAACTGAACTCAAACATTAGTTTTAAAGAAACTAGTCTAGATTATTTAAAAGCGCATAGCTCCAGTGGCTTCCGATGAGACACTGACCTCGCCTCCTCCCCCTGCCTCCCTCCCACCTCTCAGTCATCCCTCTCCCGTGGGGCTCCCACACACGAAGTGGTGGGGGGGGAGAGGCAATGGGGGGGGGGGTATCAGGGGAGCTGCCGAATGACTCACTGCCGCGTCACCCATTCAGAGGCGATGGATGTTTCAGAAACGTCCTCATTGTTCTTCAAACTGCCGCGCCTGGAGATCGAATCGAGCCCGTCACTCCCCCCTCCACTCTGGATCGCAGGTCCAGCGTGCTAAGCGTCGCCACTCTCCACCCTCCCCCCACCAATAGCGTCTCGTCATTAACTCGGCAGAATCCCCTGGTGTGTCGATGTTGTACCATTTAGTTTTTCCTTGCCGTGAGAGTGCTTTTGTTGCTGTTGTTGTTGCTGTTGGAACGCTGCCAAATGAAATCCACGCACGACGGCGCGAACCCTGCCGCAGTGTCACAACACCAACGGGCAGTGCAGCTTTAAACGTCCTAAATATCATCATGGTTCTCCCTCCCGTTGGATATTCCCATCGCGCTATCGACGTTCGCGTCACTTGGGCTCGAAGTGGCTCGTCGGCATCTCTCGCGCGGCAGCTTCGTCGCAACAATGGTGGAGAACGGCCCGTGCAAGGGGATATCGTAGAACTACTTCCTAGAGCCATTCCAGTCACCTCTGATGCACTCTCCGAATGCATCCCTGCTGCAGAGAAATACCTGCTGCTGCATGGCAATCAAGGCGACACTTTTTAACTCATTTATTTGTTCATTTCCCGAGCTGGAATTTTTGCAGTGTTATGCCAACAGCAAATTTTACGTGAGCCCAACACCGCGACCCAGCTAATTAACCATCCAGATACTAGCACTCGCCTACCATTGACCATAATGCTTATCAACCAATCAGATACGAGCACGAGCCTACCACTGACCGTTATAACTTACTAACCGGCCAACCAGACACAAACACCAATCTCCCACTGTCTATAATTCTAACCAATCAGCCAACCAGACAATAGTATAATCTTCCCCACATGATACCTGGCCAACCAAACGCGTGCATTTGGCATCTAACTTATCAACCAACTAGCTACGATCATACACCTAACTGTGGCCTTAACAAGCTAACCAACGAAATCAAGTCGTGCTAGCCATTCCACTAACCTTATGACCATGATCTTCTTTGGGTCTTTCGGTAAAGTCACGTAGATAGGTTCAAATTAATAAAAAATAAAATAAGCAAAAAACTACCAACTTAACCATGAACATCTACCGAACCAACCCTCGCTGAGGCGGGTTCTTTTAAATTAAATTATAAATTCCCTGTTCTTTTTGTTCAGTGGGTGGATTTTTCTCTCTCTCCACTGTGCCGGCTTGTGATGGTTTCCCCGGAGACGGAGCTCTGGGAAGGCTGCCCCCAACATCAGAGAGGCTGACGCGTTATTTTTTTTTCTCTTTTTCCCCCCCCCCCCCTTCGTCCCAATTTTTTTTTCCAATCGTGCCGGGCCACGTCATGCCATCGGATGACGCGGGACACTTGGAACTCAGCACAGCGGCCCACCATCATCACCCCGC